CTCGAGTGGCCCGTTGATGCCTCGCTATTAAATCAAAGAGGCACTCGAACGGCGTCCGATGCGCTGGGAATCCCAAATCGTTGCCCATAAAGACCCCCACGCCTTCAATGTTTGCGTTTATGTATGTGTAATAACAGCCATCGCGGAAGCACGAATTGTTGCCAAATGTCTGTCGTATGTGGCTGGTGATTCCGGGGGTGCCGACGGGACGGCATAACACACTCTGCATCCACACACTCCAGTCTCACGTAGACAGGGCGAAATACGCGCTGAGGGCCGCGGTGGGTTAAACATTAGGGTTGTGCCATACGCGCGAAAAAAGTGAGTCAGGGAGGTGGAAAAAGCCGAGAAAAAGAAAGATAAAAAACTGTTAAAAAGCCACTTAGCGTCAGTCCATAAAACTCGAACGTGAAATGCAATCTTTAGACCCCCAGGGGTTGAAGAAAAAAAGAGATCTCTTTCGCTGGTTGAATACCGGGTGTTGATCTTAATATGAAAATAAGTCGTTTAATATCAAAGGCAACAGCCAAATTAATGTCCTAGACTCTCGGTTTTTATTAGCTCAAGAGGGACATTTGGCGCTTCTAATTAAAGATACGAAATCGCTCTATCGCGGAGACGGAAATTAAGGGGTGGGATGAGAGTGCGAAAAAAAGTGCCAAGTCTTTTTTAACTTTCTCCACTTCTTCGGGTTTGAAAGATGCTCTTTTTCTTTGGGCCAAGGAGAATGGTTTCAACGGGAGCTTTAAAGCCCTGAGCTAAGTGTAAATGATAGCGTGGTTGAAAATACTCTCAAAAGAAACGGTTACGACATCATCTCTGAGGGCTTCCCCTCGTAGATAAAAAGAGAACAATGAGACAGAGAGAGAAAGAGAGATGGAGAGTACAATGTCTCTGGATGTGAGAGGGAAAGAGTCCCTTTAAGGATATTCAAGTACTTCGTTCAAGTTAGCAACTTTTTTTCAAGCAAGATTTCAGTTTTGTCGAGGATCTTGCCATCCCCATACTTTTTTCGATTTTTCATTGTTGAATGCACTTTTTCGGCAATTTCTTCAATAAATATTGTACAAATATTGAACAATATTTTATTCAATTTGACACTTTACTCTAGTTGCGAGTAGTCAGTAGTACAACTAGATTTACAGTTAACTCCAACGAATATGTATTTCATACAAGCGGATCAGAAAAAAATATTCAACTGAATTCGTTAGATAACATTAACCGAATCCTTCTATCAGTGCAGACGTGAGGAACGCGAGAATTCAAACCACCCAATATGGCCGTCGTATGAATCAAGATGCTTTTAATTTGATTGTTGGTAATTATCTGTTCAGAAGCTCACGTTTTTTAATATTGCAAAAAATTGCAGGCGGCTGTATCTTTGATACAGCTGTCATTGGATGTGGATACATCCATGGTGTCTCCTTCTTTCTCGAATTTCCTAGAAACTCCTTGCATTCCCTCGAATTTTCTGGAAAACCCCGGTGGCTTGGCGCAGTGGGTAAGTTCGTTGCGAAAGGTTCCGTCACATGCGAAAGGTTCCGATTTCAAATCCCGGCCGGGTAGAATGGTGCGATCGAACCATTCAACCCATTGCTTCGTGTAAGTCTCGAATCGTTTCGGTGTGAGAGGAGTGGGGGGTCCGTGCGAGATTAGTGCGCCATAAGAGGAGCACGCGAGCGCACGCACATCACTACAAAACGGCGAAAAGTGGGGTACCGGAAGACAAAGCAAAGGGTTAAAAGCTTGATCATCATCGCAGTATACCCTAACCGGGTCGAAGCGATGTAAAATAACAATAAAAAAAAGAATTTCCTGGAAACTCTTTGAATTCTCTCGAAATTTCTAGAAACTCTTTGAATTTTTTCGAAATTTCGAGAAACTTCTCAAATCATCTCGAAATGGCTAGAATTTTCTAGAATGCCGATAGAAGGCGCTGCACATAAGGACCGTTTCCCCCCATTTTGAAACCATAAATGAAAATAACCCCCCATATTGAAACCATAGACGTATCCACGTCAAAAAATTGGAGAGTATAACGAGGAAATTAATGAAAACGAAAACACGCTTCAAGACTAGGAATTATTTGATTGGAGGCGAGAGTACAACTCTTATAGACGCATTTTGGTAAATTTCATTTTTTTTAAAATCGTTTTGTCAAAAAAAATGTTTGAAAACTAAGGTTGACATTGCACCTAAAAAATATTCTTGGTGTATTCTATAAACTGAAGAGGATTTCCCCCAACAAAAATTACCCGAGTTACTTGAATATCCTTAAAACAAAAATGAAGAGAATAATAGAGGACAAACTGATTTCATCAATTGGTTCGTTCGATAATCGTTCGAAGGAAATTGTCGAGGCAACGGCTGTGCACTATCCCCGAGTCAAGGAATTTTAGCTCCTTTATTTTATCTCCAATTGAGAAACGCGAGATACCTCGTGCCTCCTTTTGATTCAATAAAAGACAAACGGAAGGAGAGGCAGGAAAAAAAAGGCAAATATCGAAAACAGTGGCACGTACATAAATTTGCGAGGTCACTTAATTGAATGGGGAAAAAGAAGGGTAGAGGAGGATGAGAAAAAGAAGAGGAGGACGTATCTTATACTCTAGACTCTCCCCAATGCCTGGAGGACAAAGACCAGTTGAAATACTATATCGTTTCGTTCTAGAAGATATACTTGTGTCCGATAGCCATTGGATATGTTAAACGGTTCTGGAATGTAGCTTGGTATTTGATGGATAGTGGAAATAAAAAGTTTATTGAATTCAAGGAGGAGAAATGAAAGAACACGGGATAGGGAGATGAAATTATGTTAAAATAATTCTAATATTAACTCGTGTGATGTAGTGAGGAGTGACAGTTTTCCTGTCTAATATTGTCAATCTCTTTTGGATATACTCAGGAAATCAAGTTTATTAACACAGTATTATTCTTGATTAAACGATAATATTTGTTTGAAGCTGATGAGACTGAAGATTGCCAATTGTCTCTTCAGAAAGACACTAAATTTCAATCCTGCACTAGAAAAAAAAATTTTAATTTCCAGTCAAACTTTGAACATCCTAACTTTGTCTCACTTTTCCTCGTCCGGGGATTGATGTCAGCCCTTCTTTTTTATTCGCGGACGCCAACTCCACGCGAATAAAAAACCCCATGGCACTCGCCCTAAAATATACTATTTCACTCATTTTAACCCTAGTCTGGTCACCAAACGCGCCCCTGTGACTTGGTTACCTCCGCGGGGATTCCCCGCTGTATTATTTAGGCTTTAGCGTTGCCGAGTTCACTCACCACTACCCGGGCGCGTTTAGCGAGTTTCCGGCAACGTCGCGTCATGGGCAATTTCATTTAACATGGGAAAAAATAATTCATCTGTCCGAAATAATTTGTTTTCTTTAGGAATTTTGGGAAACATGTTGTTCTAAAAACTACTATCATTTTTTAAACACTTCAATTGACAAATTCAATTTTTTTTTAATTCTTTCGGTAAGCCAGTCAATTATAACTAAAGAAAAACGATTCGCGGCGGGGTTTCTCTCATAGGGTGAACAATCTAGGGTTAAGAGAATTTTTCTTAAAAATCTGAGAAAAAACCTTGAATTTTAAAAAAGCAGTAATTTTTTACTTAAATTTCGTAAAATTTCGCTAGAATTAAGGCACATTTTCTGTCATTTTCAGGATATCTCGGTTTTGGAATTCAGAACTTTTTACTTTTGAAAATCAGAACTTTAGAATTCTTGTGGCATTAGCGTAATTTGATCCCCAATATTTATGCTTTCACCACATATTTTTTAACCCGTAAATCGAATTCATTCTCGTTCTCATAATCAGAATTCCTACTGAACTGTCCATGAACTAATAGAAAAGAGAATGCCCATGAAATCTCATTCATCTAACAATGCGTACCATTGATTTTATGAAATAGTCTCCCATTCAACGTAAAATGTCTTATTTGACTCAACTTTTTTTCCAGGGGAGCATTATTATTATTAATATTATTATTATTATTGCTGTTGTTGTTGTTGTATTCAGTGAAGAAAGGGACAAAACACAATTAATAAATTGATTGGGGTGTTTTATTGATTCTTTTTAGGAGGTATATTGAGATGAGTCTGAATAGATCTCCAAAGAGAATGACAGACAGATATCAATGTCATTGAAAAGACAGTTGTTACCAAGAGGGTTTCTTCCAGATGATGACAGTCAATTACAGTCGGATTCGAAAGGGAACCCCTAACATTATTATATAAACACGAATGATCAGACAATAAACGTAGCTCCCCAATATATTGTCCATATTCTGTATTTGAGAGCCGTGAAATGAACTCATGATATTAATCTCATTATTTTTATTCTGTTGTTTCACGCTCCATTTGAAAAATAGAGTACATAAATTTTTTCTCTCTAAATTCTAATTCTCTTAGAATTTTTTTTTTTTTATTATTAAATAAATCGTGCTTTATTAATTTTTATCGTCTGAATGTCGTACATGGTTGATTCATTTCATGGTTGATTCATGGTTGAAAAATAGAGTACATTCATCACAGAGACAAATTTTCTCAAGGAAAAATTAGAAAAAACCAAATGTTCCATGTCACACTTACCCATGTGATGAAGGACCTATGGAATGAGACTGAGTGTATTCCATCTTGTAAAAATAGAGGAGAAACGATACGTTAGAGATTTCCGGATAAAATGTTATTTTGTTTGGGTGTGGGTAACCGTGAAAGCGAAACAACCATTTGGTGAAGAGGAGTAGCGCGTGTCCGGGCGACCTGAAATTCCTCCGGGGCATATCTCGTGCACAAATAAATAAACAGAGATGGCCGTTTGAGGAGCCGCAGCTGCTCGCGTTCCCTATCCCTCCCCTCATTTGAAACAAAAATTCTAATCTCCATTCCTCGTTTTTTTTTTTATCATTACTCATCTAGAGTTGATGGGAGTCTTATGCTGTTTTGTTTATACTAAAGATGATGTTTCTTTTGGGTTTGTTTTAGGTAAGAAAAAGTTTCCAGCTGATCCATCCTGCTGTCCTGTGTGCAGTGTTACGGTGAGACCGCAGGAATTGGAGCAGCACTTTGCTCAGGAACTTGATCGATTGTATAAAGTATCGGTGAATAATTCGAGACCGAGACCGAGATCGATACTTCCAGTCGTTCAGGATCATCCGCATGGACAAATGCTGCATACACCGTCAACGGCTGATGGCACGCCGCAGGGGAGGTGGGAGACTTATAAGAGAATTCGAGCAAATCGTCAAGTAAGTCGATGATCAAGTAATTTGAGGAATTTGACAAAAATATTGAAAGTTCTTTCTTTCGTATTGGGAACTCAGATGGGGGCGGGGCGCAGGTCGCGTACCCTACTTGCACGGGTTCACATTTTCGCCACTCGACAGCAGCTTCTTGTCTCCCAACAATCCCCCACTGTAATACTTTGTGACGTCATTGTTTCTGAAGTTTTTTTTCCGCATAAAAAAAATTAAATTCCTAGCAGTTTATTAGTAACATAACATTTTCAAGAGAGCAACATTAAATTTAATTTAATGTTTACCCAGAAATTTTACCTTAACAGCACTAGAATTTTTCATAACTGGTGGATTGTGATTTTCTTCAGTACTGATACTAGAATTTTTCTAGAAAATTTCTCTCTGTGCATTGAATTTTTATTTCTTCCATTGTTTCTTCCCATATTGCTTGTCAGCAAACGGTTATGAATAAATTTTTTTTATGTTTAAATTGCGCAAAAGGTTTTTTGAAATTCCAATTTTTTTACGCGCTGATTACAATAGAATACGCCATTGTATTGTTGTTATCACCAATAACTTGTCGTTTACTTCAATCATTCCAAACAATCGAAAACCACGTCGTCTCATTTAAAAATATATGTATCTAAATAAACATATGTTCCCACCAACCAAAGGCGAGAATTCGGGTGAAAAACCGGAAGCGAAAAGCAGACGAGCCCGCGTGTCCCGTCTGTAACGAGCGTCTCTCCGGTACCCCAGAAGAGCTAACGCAGCACGTCGAGAGGTGTTTGAACAAGCACAACGGTGGTAATGGGTCCAACGTCACCCTGGACGACGAAGAGGTGGACGTCGAGGGTGACACAGAGACCTTCGAGGAGTACGAGTGGGCTGGGCAAAAGAGAATTCGTGCAACATCGATGCTGGTGGGAGGATTCTCCGGTGAGTTTCATATAAAAATTGGAAAACAACAATAACACTGTTGCAGAATGACATTCAAACACATCAAACAGTGAAATAAAATTCCGAATAAAAATCCAATTTCGTTGAACGAGCAGACAATATTTCAATACATGGAGATATAACTTCATTCGCGCCATAAACGCTGTGAATTTTTCACTGAAATGTTTCGATATTTGACTGTGAATTGCATTTTTCGTTTATTTTTATTTTTCATAGCTGCAGGACTCGCGACCTCGTCGAGGAGTGGCAATGGTGCGGGCAATCCTGGGCGTCCAGAGGAGGAGGAGGATCTGATTGTCGATGGCGATGAGACAGCGCAATTTGGTCCAGCTCAGTATTCAGAAGCGGATGTGATAGCGCCGAGGGGTGAGGGGACACCCAGGGAACAGAAGGAGAGGGATGCACTCAGGGAAGCTGTCATATCACCCAATGCACCACTGACCCCGCATACACCACCTGATCAACCCCATGGTGCCCAGGTCGAGGTCAAACCGGAACCTGGCACTATTATCGGACTCAATAATCCATCCTCACCCTCGACCACACCATCGAGGCAAAGGTGTGAAGGAGAGGAGGGAGTTACCACGACACCTGGACAGGATGGCAGTGATACACCGGTTGTTGATGCATTGAGGAGTAGAATTCGAGAACTTGAGAATGAGATGAGGGGACAACCGTTCAAGTGTCTGATCTGTATGGTGAGTTGAATTATTTTCAAGAGTCATTGCGAATTTTTTCGTTGTCAAAAAAAATTGGAATTTATAATGTAGAGGTATACGTATGAAATTATGTCGTTAATGGCAGAGTAAGGTCTGGTAAACCTTACCAGCTCCTCTTGGCTTGCGTGGAATACGAAAAATTTGAAATTTGCAAAATTTGCGAGATTTCATGACCTACATGAGCTTGATAGATAATCCAGGAACCAAAATGTTGAAATATGAATTTTAGGGGTCCAGGTTGCGTTCTACATCAAATTATAGGCCCCACGGAGAGAAAAATTCAATAAAAATTACTACACTGATAGAAAGGATTAGTTATTGTTAACAAATCGATTTGATTGGCTAGGGTCTATTCGGTCTCACCAATTATTTGAAGAGCCTTGTTTGACTCGACATTCACCTTTCAAGTGAACCATTCGTTAACTATTAACGAATATTTATTTGGTCATATTCAACTCTACCATTCTTTAATATTTAACGAATCTCATTTGGAATAAATGAATCATTCTACCAGTGCAGAAAAAAAACGTAAAAATTCAATTTCGAAACGTAATCCGCGAGCGAAGTAAAATTCAATAAAAAGTGTGAGTCGGAACTGAAATTGTACGAATCGCCACGTAAATTTTACGATTTGTTCCGTAAAAATTAACCACCCATCTGATGACTCACCGCTGTGGGGACAATGAGTCGTTCCGTAATTTTTCCCCAACGATTGAGAAATTTACGGAACGGCACGTAGAAATAACTCACCAGCTTCATAAAAAATGTTGAACGTTCAAGAATTTTTTATTTTGGAGGCATAATAAGTCGGCAAGTTCCTGTAAGATTTGACTTCTTCGGGAAAATTACGTGACAATTTCGTACTTTGTTCAGTGATGAACCTGAGAATTCACTGAACGTTCCAGATTTCGTCTCTTTCATTCCTATAAAAATTGCCGGAAAACGATTCCCCATTGCGGTTCATGGAGTCTTGATTAATTCTGATTAACCTTGTGTTTTGCATCATGTACCATTGATTCAAACCTTCCCAAAAATGCTGCAAAAGTTGAAAGCTCATATAACATTTCTCCAAATCAATAGCTCCTCATTCCTACCTCCCCATTGACTAGTAAAACCTTTCAAAAACAAATATTCAGACGACCTACCGATGTTACAAATCAATAAATCACAATTCATGTTCACATCGCTAACCTTTCTGATCCAGTTTGTCAACCCATTAGTTAAAGAAATTCTTATCAGCTTAATTACCATCAATGATTTTCATTAACAGGAGCAGTACAAAAAACCAGTGACGTCGGTGTGCTGTTGGCACGTGCACTGCGAGCAGTGTTGGTTACATACACTGGTCAGTATATCTTTAATCTCATTACCATTATCATATCCCCTTTTGGCATTACCATTGGGACAAAACAACAGGGGTAGGAAAAAAAAACCCACCAGATCACATCGACCACAAGCCCAAAACCATTGTAAACCACATAATGTTTCCGATTCCATTTCGTTATTTGCCATTGAAAGCACTGTTCAATGATGGAAAATCATGTGGAAAGCCCGCGTATGCTGGTCGTTTATGCGGGTGCATATTGAAAACGCAAAATGTAAAATGATACTCGTTTTCACGAAGCCGTTGAGTGACAGCCAGCCCATCCCAAATTTACCTGTATCAAAAACCAAATTATATAACAACTGTTTTGATGGGTCCATTTCGTTTTATTTTCATTACAGGGAGCAAAAAAACTCTGCCCCCAGTGTAACATGATCACATCACCAGCGGACCTGAGGCGAATTTACATGTGAGCTTCAACCTGGTCGACTGAGCCCATCGACTTATCGCTCACAAAGTCACAACAGACTACCCTTGTACATTTGTATATTTCTTAAATTAACGAATTTCACTCCCCCCGTTGCGTAAACCTAGTACTTAGTAAATTAACAATTTTTAGAACATAACGAGCGAACAAATTGAATTATAAAATGTAATAATAGTTGTACTGTCATCATTGCCAATTGTCCTGTCAAACCAAATTGTCACCCGATAAGGTATAACAACTATTCACGTCGACGTAAAGACCCCAAATGCACTTTGATATAAAATGACACGAGTTTATTGTCAATATGAAGAAAAAAATATCGTGATAGATGGAGAAATTGAGGGCCTGAGGTACTTAGATAGACGAAAATTACCATCATCCAGCTGGCAACGCGGTGCAAATCCGTCCGAAGATGAGGCATGTGAGAAATCAAATTTCTGCTGAACTGAAGAGGTGCGAAAGTGATGAATGTCTTATAAACGAAATCAACAACTTCGAAAATTTGTAAATACCCGCGCAGGTGCGCGCTAAAGCGAAACGAAAGAGAAATTGAGGGAGAAAAACGAACGGAAAACAAATATCCTGAAGATGTTCTGTACTCGAAAATAAAGAGACCATGCGAAAAAAAAATGTAATCAAGCCTGTTGTCATATATTCTCCTTTCATACCCCTTTTCCCGGAACAACCGAGATAAGTTTCTCACAATGAAGCCCAAATGGTTGAGTAGAGACTGAAAAATAAGGGAGAAATGAAATACCTGAAATAAACAATCTTGAATGCAGAAGGCTGGAAATGCCGCCCAGCCGACCTATAAATACCTGCGTGTAATTTCCGTTCCGCTGGCGTTATCATCTGTACCAACCCCGAGGGTCGTTTGTCGCACAAGACGTCCTAATTAAACTGCCCCCCTCCTCTTGTCCTCCTCGACCCCACGACTGTTGAAATGAATAGCTTGGGCGTTGGAAAAGGACCGAAAGAAACTCGGAAAAAACGAATGATCGGTTGAAAACAAAATGGCGGTTGTAGGGCAGCGAGTAATCTCGGTCGGGAGAAAGTTGAGCTGTCGTTTTCTCGCGGTACCCACCACCATCTTAAATTTCCTTTCAACCTATTTTTATGTATTATCCCGAGAGTGTTTTTTGGGGTGGGGAAACTCGTGTTTATATCTCACCGAGGACAGTGTCGAATTTTTTTTATTATCTTTGTGTCGTTGTGGAGGTGCAACACTGTGTAAGGAGGTGGTGGGCGTTAGTTGCAGGTGGGGAAAGACTCCGCCCTCTTCTCACGACAAGTGAAAAATCAACCACCACCCACTTTTCTCTTACCTTCTACGGTTCCAACGAGATACTCCAAGTGCATATTTAAATTCAAATATTTTTACTGTATTTTTTTATTCCTCATCTCGGCAATTCCCGCGGTATTTACGGCTCACGTCCTGGGGATTCATTTCCGGTTGATCCCGAGGTGGGATTCGGAAAATCGAAGCTTATGAGTGGAGTAGAGGAAGAAGTGCGGCGCTGAAGGTGGCGAGGGGGACAGGGTTACGTACAGCTGTAGACGCTGTTGGCGGGTTGAGTTATTTCTGAGGAGGGGCGGTGGTGTAAAGCACCCAGACTACTACGCAACTCGGCTCTCTACTATCGTGCGCCTGCGACATTGGGGGAGGGAGGTATGAGAGAACCGCCCACCGTCCTATCAAGTAGCTGGGTGAACCCTGAATCTCCTCCAACCGACGAGCAGCTGTTCCATGTGGCTGCGGTGGCACTCTCCACGTATTTATCGCGCACCTAGGTGGAGAAAAGGTGACTACCACCCTCTGCTAACACCACCCCTCCTTTTTCTGTCTTGGATTTTTTATTTATCTCGAAATATTTTAAATTTGCGTTTAATATTCTACTTTTTCTTTTGGTCTGTTTACTTCGCACTCCGCTGCGGGTTTTCTCCATTTTGTTTTTCCCTTTGAGAGAGATTTATCGGGAGGGGGAAGGGTTGAAGATGTGAGTACAGAGGAAATTGTCTGTATTTGCGGTTACGCCCTAGAAACATGAGAGAATAGCCTGAAAAAGCTATTGCTGGTGCACCCAATCCCTCTCGCTTACTTTCTTTCCAATGGTCATCTGTAACTATCATGAAAAGAGTCGGTAAATGTTATCCCTTTTTTCCACGACGTTGATCGATTGGGTTGTCTCGTTTGACGAAGCTACACCGCAAAATTGGATTCTAATTTTTATCGTTTGAAAGCAACTCACTGGGAATTGTCAAGTCACTGAAAAAGGAAACTCTCCAAAGAACGACTTCGAGGCCACACGTTTAATAAATATATTATTTTTCCATTTTTTATTATCTATTCTCGGTATAACATGTATATAGCATGACATGACACGTATTTATAACATTATTTTTTTCCTCTTCATTCACATTTAAGTAAAATTTCAAGGCACATTTGGCAATCGTATTGTATCATTCGGTGTAAACGATGAATTGACTCTCGTTATTCTGTACAATTGGCATTCTTCTTTCCTCATAATTATAAACAAGAGAATCACTTCATTCTAAAATCAATTTGTGGATAGTTATAAGTAAATGAAAAGAGTAGTCATAATAAAAAGTTGAAGTTGTTCTCATTGCGCGGAGAAAACTATTCGAAGAAGAAACTCAAAAGACAAAGGGATAAAATATGCAAAATAAATCTTGGAACAATTTGAATACTTGAGAGTGATGTGACTTGATGTGTCACAATAAAATGAGGAAAGTCATTGTTAAACATTCAAATTGTCCATAATCGATGGTCAGCCAATTTGATGTGGCTTAAAAACTAAATGTTGGCACTCGTATTTTTGTTTCATCGTGAAATTTTGATATAAAAGCATCTTAAACGTCTACTTTGAATGGTGATCCAGGGATGTGGTCCTCTCCCCACTTGACGATGACGAGGTATTCGCCACGTTCACGAACGAGATAGCTGACGTTGTAAGTGTTGCGTCCGGCGTGTTTAACGTAGACCTCGTCGCAGGGTCCTTTGGGTCCATAGACACCAACGAACAGCATGTTTTGCCCTGATAATTGGGACAGAATTAATGAGCACCCTCTTTTACCTGTTCTAGGTGAAAACCGACAGTCGGTAGATGAGGAGATACTTACCGGCATCACCAGCGTTGACCGAGAATTGATTTTGTTTACCAAGGTATGCCTTCTTCAGACCCATACCCTTACTGCTGACCTTGCTGGCGTCTGATTTGAACTTGGGCATTTGCACTAGGTCCTTCTTAGCTTTGGAAAACTTCTGGACTGTCTCCACTACCACAGAACTGGTCTCCGATGCTCCTCTCTCAGCTAAATCAGTTCCTGAAATTTTGGATTGGAATATGTGGAATGATGGTTGATAGAAATGACTGATTATGTGACATCATGAGTTCGAAATGAAGTCGACTTCGCGTGATTTCAGGATTGATTTCGAAAAAAGTGAAATCGATGAGTTCAAGTGCAATTGGCTTCGAATAATTTCATAGATTCGAAATCAGCGATTTCAGAGGCAATGAAATAGGGGAGAGTAGGGTAAAATGGACACTTTTGACTTTTTTAAAAATGTTAATGACAGATTGAATTGTTGGTGAAATGTTTTTTTTATTTCTCAATAGAAGGAACAATTCTTTCCCTTTGTGTTGAGCCTAACTGATTTCAATTCATAAATCTGTCTCTGAGTTATAAATATTTCTTTAAATATCAAGTGTCTATTTTACCCCATCCTCCCCTAATTGAAATCACGATGAATAAAATTCGTCGCATTCTGTTGCAAAACACTCATTCATTTTAAATAACTTGGACATGATTTCAAGACTTCAGCGTGCTTTCGGAAATGATTTCAGAGAGTTGAAATCACGTGATTTCATTGATTTCAACGTGGTTTCGGATTGGTTTCATCACAGAGTGACGTTTTGGTTTCCGGAGTGAGTAGCCCCTCAGAAATAACACTAAGAAACTTGACATTGTTGGAAAATTTTGGCTGACATTGCCAATACAGTTCTTGGAAATTTTTAGTGAGAGTTCCGGTGACATTTGAAGGAGTTCCGCGGAACAAAATTTTGATCGAAAATTGAAGTAAGTCAGACAATTCACGTATTTTTACCAATCAAAACTTTGGAATTTCATTTAATTTCCAGGAAAATTTGAAAGTATCATTTTTTTTCCCTAAATCAAATTCAATGTCATTTTCCTGAAAACCGTTACTAAACTAACTATGAAATTTCCTTCGAAATTCAAGGAATAACTGAACTTGAATTTTTCAAATATAGTTTTTACTCAAACTCCTTGTTAAAATTGAGCATCACATTCAATTGTTGCTCGAATTTTGACAATTTTCAGCAATTTCCATTGTGGCATGGATTCGAAAATTTCACAATTTTTATTCACAAGTAAATTAATGTCGTATTTCAATACGACAAAAGATCTCTTCAGGGGAACATAATTTTTCGGCAGATCTAATCTTTTCTCTCAGTGTATGGGAAATTAAAAAGTTAATGTATATCATTCGTTGTTAAAAATTCACTGATCAAATTTTCAACAACAATTTTTCAATTGAAACTTCAGAGATAATTGTTTATCAGTTTGAATTTACTGATCTTACCAGTGCATGGAACCTTGAAAGGTGATCCAGCGATATGATAGCCGTTGTATTTAAGACTGATGTAGTAATCCCCAGGTACCAAGGGTGTGTACCTGACCTTGTAGCCCTCCTCCACCTCAGTGCAATCCATGGCCACTTTGCTGGGTCCATCAACAGTGACAGCAAGTGCTCCAGCACCGGCATTGCAAGTGTCAACGATGAAATCGAACTTCTGACCGGTCTTCACTTCCTTCAAACCATTACCGTATGCCTGAATTGCCGCTGGATCGGCGTCGACTTTGCCGACCTTCACGCGCAGGGGACTACCATTGATGTGAACACCGTTGAACTTGAGATGTATATTGTGAATTCCATTCTCACGTGCCATGAATCTCACTGAGTATTCTTCAGAGTCAATTGCCTGGATGAAGCAGTCGTCTTCGACACCGCTTGGAGATACAATCTGGAAGTGTCATTTGTCAACGATTGAAAAGAAGCTCAACGATTAAAATAGTATGAAAAAACTCGAGTTGAGTCGTTAAACGTAACATGGGAAAATAAATTCAAAAAGTCAAAAAAAAATTATTGATCATTGATCATTTGTCCCATAAATTATAACTTTGATGAGTGTAAGAAATTAATCCATCAAATTCTTTCTTCAATAATTTTTTTTAAAAACAGTTTTTCTGTTGACTAGGGTGAAACAAATTATTTTTTACAAAAGCTTGACACTGACGATACGCGTTGTTGTTTTAGGGTCTATTTTCGAGATACAGAATGCCTATTTTTCATTTTTTTCACGAAAGAGTATGAGAGAGCGATTTATAACTTGAATTTTTTTTCACGGTTTCGAAAATTTCCTCAGATAATCTATGGAATGAGCGATTCGGGGGATGAATGTTGAGATATCTTCTCCATACAAGAAAATTCACTGTAATACCTGTCTTCTAATTAATCCACTCAACGTAGCTCATTACCAAAATTACTTGACAATTATTAACAACAAAAAATTACTCTCCATCACTTCTAAATGAAGATTTGACATGAAACTCTTCCTGTATGAAGTAAACTGCTATAATCGTCTGGGTAATAATCGTAATAACATAGAATCAATGATAATGTTGATTTGAAACTTCTTAATGACGAAGATCATAACTCCAATTGCCCCGCAATAATACCCCTTCAATTCTTCTCCCCTCAAATTCACAAATTAATGAAAATTACAGTAATAAACCCCACATTTCCCACATTACAGTCCATAAACAAAATCTAGTCTCAAATAAATCAAGTTTACAGTCCCCAACAGATGTTTCACATCACCACCCTCTCGTCATGATTTCCAACAAAATCCGATAAAACAAAAAATCATTTGTTTACTCGAAATAGTGTCAAGGATATGCAACAGGGGTTACAGATGACTAATATCAACGAACCGCCATCGCCTCCACACTTCATGATGTGGTATTTTGCAACCTGCCTACATATATTTTTAGATCATTGGCGCAACACTGACACTCAACCGTCCTTGCATAAATTACAAAAGTGAAAATTATCTCGATATTTTTGTGAAGAATTTTGTAACATAACAAGAACCAACTCATTCGTTATTTCTGTTACCTTTCCATCGAGCTGTCCCTTGGCCCCGTTGTTGCGTACAAGGAAAGTGTGGGGTTTGTCAGGCTGTACTCCTTGCTCAGGGAATTGAGCTACTTCGAGTTTATGAGCGTCTCCAACAGCCGGTGATATGTAAACTTTGTGGGGCGAGTCGGGTATGTGTTGATCGTTGAACTTAATTCCCACTCTATAATCACCTGGAGCCAAACAGCAAAATAATCAAAATCAACCGAGATTTAAGGAAATTTAAAATCGATGAGTTCACAAACTACTGATTGAGAATAATTAGCACATCAACTTGTTCGATAACTACCATCATCATCCCCCGAAATGACAAGATCTTTACAAGCAGTGAACGTCCCCATCATTTTTCACACAAAAGCCACAACTGACAATGGAAACAAATAGATCTAACGAATATAACCGTGCCACCACTCGAAGGCATCTAAACCTCTCGTTTCCACCGGTGAGATGAGACTCTCCGCCAAAATATGAATCCACAGTAAAACGAATATAGATCCAGGGATATTTTTAGTATCTTCATAACGTTATAAAGGAGCAACGAGGGAGAGAGGACAACGATATCAACAAACATCACGACTGATTCATTTGTACCATCTCCAAAGAATACCACTCATTGTCAGATTCACTTTATTACCCGTTACTCTCCAATTTTTGGACCATTTTCAACCGTCAACTGTGGCTCAAACTCTCCATAAATCAAAACAATGATCAGAGAAATTAGATAGTTTTACCCACAACAAAAATGTATCCCATAACGCAGTGGGTCTTCATAAATAAATTGCAATAGTTTCGTTAATTTTCAATTCATTTCCGAAAGGATTGATTTGGAAGAAAGTAAAAAAATCCTTTTGCAAATACATGAACTCCCAATGAAAACCATTTTTTGACATTTACCCGTGGAATTAATCATTAGCAATATAATTCGATATTCAATAAGACTTTAGTGAAGAACTTTGTGCAAAAAAAATATTGTGATAAACTTCTTCATAATGATTGTGGTGAAGGTTTGAAACATTGAAGCGAATTGGAAAATTCCCCAGACAAGAGTAGATCATTTTCAAAATAACTTATTTAACACAATAAATGAACACTGATAATTGATCGTTGATTGTGAGAAATTCATTCGATAGTGTACCAAACTCATATGAGTTATTCTAAAAACTATTCATTCTTGCTTATAGAATCTTCGAGACCTTCATCGCATTCATCAAGGAAAAGTTTGTGGCAAGAATTTCGTCGATCCCAAAAACTTTTCTTTCAGAGACAATTAAATGAATGAATAAGTGCATGAATAAATGAATCGATAAATAAATCAACAATGTATATTGGAAACACAGAAAACATCGCTAATTTATAATTTTGAGGCCCCGATGGATTATCTTTCGCACGTTATCTCGATTGTTTTTCCATCTTCATAATCTAAAATATATCACAATTTCCATTGGATTTTACATCACACGGAAAGCCCTAAAAATTATGTTTGTACGATGAAAAAAAGAAGAAACCCTGAACATTTTCAAAGAGCATTTTTAATAAAGATTAAGAAATACGTCCGATAAGAAAGAAATTGTAAATGGGTAATTTCTCATGGCAACTAACGACCTGACAGCTATTGGCGACTGTGACAAATGACGAGCCGATAGCCATTACACACGGTAATCTGTTTTTCTTTCAACATTTTTTCGTCATTTCGCTACGCGTTCGTAAAGCGTTAGCTACTGCCGGAATGACAAAAAATATCGTTCGACATACGGCCTAAAAATTCGGCCTAATGACGAAAAATACTATTTTGATTGTACAATCAGAATTTTTGGCGACTCCAGGGCTATGTGAAACTGAGTGACAATTAGAGAACATTTTAGATTATCAAACTAGTAGGGGGCTTCGCCTCCTGCTCGCTTTGCCCCCCCCCCCTCCCATCTCCTTGATATCAGTGGAAGTCATTCTCAACAGACTCGGGTCACCTGAGAAATGAAAAACAAAGCAAAACATGACGCTCTAAACAGCTTACGATCAGCATTTCACAACCATCGTATTCACAAGAGAGGCTCCAACCTCCGCCTTCCTAGTGAAGTACAACCGCTCTAAATTTCTCATTCTTTACTCCCATTTGACCCCCATTCGACCCTTATGTTGACCATTGTAGCCCTTAGTTTCCACCCTTCATTTCTGACCCTTAATTTTGAACTCTTAATTGGAAGTGCCAAGTTTTCATCCCCAGAAGTTGATTTGGCTTTTTACAATACAGAGAGAAAGAAAACCAAGATCGCGTTCGAAAGATAACCCACGCGGACCTTAAACACCCCATTACCCTGAACCACTAAGAATAACCATGGAGATGAATCACATAACCAACGAAGTGAGAAAAATAAACTCATAAGTGATAACTTGACTCCTAAATTCTGAAACTCACCAGGTTCAGTGACACGATAGCTCACATAGCAGGATCCATCCTTTCGATCCTTGAAATCAATCTGCGCTTTGCTGGGTCCCTCAACAGAGACAGCCAGTGTGCCAGCACCAGCCTCCCTGGTCCAGATATTGAACTCACAAGGTTCGCCCTGCTCCCCCCTCTCCAATCCAGGACCACCAGCATGTACCCTATGGGCTCCACCATCCTTCAACGGACCCACCGTGAACTGGAACGGTGATCCAGGGATGTGCATCTCCTTGTATTTAACCGAGACCGTGTGAACCCCGAGCTCCTTGGGGACAAAAGCCACAGCATAAAGTCCATCCTCAACTTCTTTAATCTCGGCATCCTCAGTGACTCCACCAGGGGACGTTACACTGGACGTGAGATCAAACGAGGTGATTCCGGGCATCTTGAACGTCAACTTGCACTGGGATCCCACTTCGGTGATGGGGACAGCCTCTCGACGGCGCTGAATCTTCTCCCTCTGCCTGTTGGAGCCCTCTCCAGTGACCTTGACAGTGAATGGTGAGCCCTCGACATGATGATCAGCGAATTTAAGGTTCATGATGTAGTATCCTGGCTCGGTGGGTTTGTAGGAGATGTTGAGGGTGCCATCGGAGTTGTCCTTGCACTGGATCTCAGCCTTGCTGGGCCCCTCCATGGACAGAGAGAGACCTCCGAAGCCAGCGTTCCTGGTGTCAATGGAGAAGGTGTTCTCCACGTGGGTTTTTCCCTGCTTCAGAGCACCTCCAGTCACCTTGACCTTCTTGGCATCACCCACCTCACGATCCTTGACATCGATCTTGAAGGGCGAGTTCTGAATGTGCTTGCCCATACGTTTAACTGCCACAACATGCTCTCCAGATTCCCTGGGGGTGAAGGACACGCACATGTTGCCACTGGGCATTTTCTTGAGGAAGCAGGGCTCCTCCAGGCCACTTGGGGCTGTGATGGAGGCGTTCAATGAACGAATGTCAGCGTCGGAAACCTTTCCTGGGAGCTGGACCTCGCTCGACGAACCCACGGAGATCTGGTTCCTCTTGCGACCCTCACCTGTGATCTTGGCGGCGTAGGGACTACCTTTGATGGGCTTGTCCGCGAACTTTACGGAGATCTTGTACTCTCCGGGGGCTGTGGGCAGGTAAGACACTGACACCGTGCCATCCTTGTTGTCGTGGCAAGAGATTTCTGCCTTGCTGGGGCCTTCGACTGCTAGGGAGAGACCTCCTGCTCCTGCACCCTTTGTGGAGATTGTGAAGTTTGCGGGCTCACCGCACACTCCGTAGATCAGACCGGGACCGTATGCTGTGACGTAGCCGCTGGCGAGGGAGTCCACGTGGAAGTGGAACGGTGAACCTGAGAAATTTTTGTTGGGGATTAGGTTTGAGAATTTGTTCTCATCATCAGAATAATTCCGACATTTCTTCCCCCCAAAGTTTTCTCGTATCATTTCTTCCTCAAAAACTCGTGCCAGTACTAATTTTTTCCCCTACCGATTTCCTTTCAATTTCCGTAATTAATTTTATTTAGAAATAGTCCAGGGCCTCCAGTTTTTGAGCTACAATTTTTTTTTTCAAAATTTTTGAAAAAATGTGTACAATTATAATTACGAATTAGTTTTTTGAAATTCGAGTCCACACAGCTAATTTCGGTTTGTTTAGCATAAAAATTTGCGCCGTTAATGTAAAATAAGCACAAAAATTATCCTTAAAATATTTAAAATACGTTCTCGATTCTTTCAAAAATATTTTCGGTCTATTTTACATGAATGATGCAATTTTTTATTAAAAAAATTACGAAATATTTTGTTTATTGGTAATGTTATATCTACGTACTGAGAGTTATTATTAAAGGAAATTAAATATTGAATAATCTTTCATTTTCTGTGTTAATAAAATTAATTGTGGGAATTGAAAGGAAAATGGAAGGGGGAAAAATTAGTGTTAGGACGGGTTTTTAAGAACGAAATGTCGGAGAAGAAATGAGAGGAGAAAAGTTGGAGGGGGGGATATTTAGAACAGTTTGGAAGGATAAGTAATTTTTGCATTCTACAAAAATATGGAATGAGACCGTTTTATTCCCGTTTATTCACTCTTCTTAATAATTTATATTTGTTTCATCCACGCGCTCAACGTTAGCCGGGCTCTTTCCTTCATCGAAAAATTTTGGGTTTCTTACAAATTTCTATGGAGTAAAATAAGCCAAATTTTATAGAAAGCGCAAAAATTTTCTAGAACTTGTGGAAAGAGCCCCAAATTTCTATGAAATTTTTCCAAGAAGTCCTTTCAAAGGAAAATTCTATAGTTTCCTAGAGAGTTCTAGAAATTTTCAGAAAGTTCAGGAGATTTTCTGTAACTTTGTACCTTGCAATTTCTTAGACGTTGATGTTCAAAAAAAGTCTAAATGGAATTTTTCATTTTTTCAACTTGAATGGTTTTCTAATTCTTATCAACAAATTTGCACCCTCTTCACTCCCTGAGAGAATGAATTTTTTAAAAATCCCTCAGTAAGTATTCATGTCACGAAAAGCACCTGCAGTCAATATTTCATGTTTCCAGATTCAGTAGTTATGGCTGTCAGTCGGCCTGAAAGTGGCCACTTGTATTTTAAATATGAGATATAATTGGAAATTTGTTTATTCTCAAATAACTCAATCACTAGATGCATTAGTCGGAAATATTTCCTCTCTTTTTTCCCGAGCATTTTCTCTCAGTGGTGACGCAATTTCAATGAATCATCTAGGAAAGACTGCGTCCCAGTTCCAAAAATTCAATCAGCTGTTTATTTCGGATGGCATCTTCGTGAACCGAATTACTTTGAGACGAGAACTGTCTCAAATAATAATTCTTTCAATTTAACCATTTGAGCTACGTTCCACTTTCTACTTCCCATAATTTCTAAGAACAGTTAGTCACAAATATTCCAATTAGTGATTCGAAAAGGGGCTATTTTTTCTCGCATTTTTTAGCAATTTTGCCCTAGGTATGGACGACTCACCTTGAACATGTTCTCCATTGAACTTAACGTAAACTTCATGGAGTCCCTCTTCCCTCGGGTCATACTTGAGTGAGACAGTACCATCGTGGTTGTCTTCGATCACTGGTTTGTCCACATTTCCACTCGGCATCTTAACTTCGGCTAAAAATAATTCAATAAATTAGTTCGCCATGTAGTATCCCCTCGGCATCAAAAATAGTTCGCTTTTTCATCTCCTATAAATTCTCCTGCTTTTTTTTCCTCTCATCTGAAGAAATATTTTTCTAAAAATAAGGGAACAAAACTCTCTCCAATTCTACAACAGTCGAATTATCTCCAAGCGTTGCCAGCAGATATTTCAATCGAATACATGGGCAAAACCAATACCACAAAGGAGTGAGAATACTACAGGGTAATTTAACCAAGCAATCAGAAGATTATCGAACCTTGTCGAGTGTTAACGTAATAGAGACTCTGGAAACGTATTGGATTAAAATCTAAAACGGACGATGGATCCGCTTCGTCGTCACTGATGTTATTATCTACTTCAGTTTCTAAATAAAATACTGGCCATTGTGGGTAATCCAACTCGCTACAAGTGATACTTTTAAGCCACTCTTGGTAAAAAGTGGATATTTCTTGCCAAGTTGTTTCGATTTCTTCCTCTTGATCCTGCCAAAACATTTCAATGGAACTTCGTCGATCAAACAACAACTTCTGTTCACCCTCTTGCCAATTTCAAAACTGCCAATTTATTTATCGAAGCAATCGATTTCTCTCCCGCACAAATTGACATCAAGTATACGAAAAAAAAAGAAATTCACGATGGAAAAAAATCAGTTGCAATGGATAAATTGAATCATAGTGAATCTGCCCAACGAGGCCAGACCAATTAATGCAAATTTCTCCAGAAAAATATCACCGAACTGTGAGAAATCCCGAGCAAGACTGATCCACTTGTGAGCAACATATGGGTCGTCCCCGGGAGCTGAATTTTGTGCCTCCAGTGGGGCCAATCTGGATATATATCATCCGGGGGATTCGTGCCATCAACGTCTCACACTCACCCGCCGGCCAAAAGACGCATAAAAATCATCCCACGCAGGCGCAACATCTCCACCCAAAGTACCGGGAAGATATTAACGAGATATCATTAAAAAAAAAATTACCTAAATAGACCCCACTGTGCACCGAATGTCATTACCTCGACTCCTGACGATTGAATTGATGTTTCTGATCAAGGCATCTGAAGACCACGAAAATAAAACGTGAGAAGATGCCCTCATAAATCATCAAGCACCACGAATTACTACTCTCAAGGCCTTCAGTTTGAAAATTTTTTCTACTTTTAAAATCAATTTCAAATGAATTTTCCGCATTTTAATGTCTTATTTTTTTCGGGGGGGGGGGGGGGGGGGATTGGCAAGCGAGTATGAATCATCTCATGTTGAATTGGAGTGCGGGCCAAGGGAAATATGAAGAGTGAATTTTTGGACGTCCCTCGGCTGATTAATGATCCAGCTTAGCTCGTCGTTATCGCTGTGGCTGTCCTCCATTTGTCACATGAGCCAGTGGTGACTTCCGCATAAATTTGCAGAATGTTTTATCAACTGACGCATAAGTGAGTTTCCCCAATGAAGAGCAAAGAATCAATCGTCAACAGTTGCATTTTAGCATTAAATTTTTTTATCGCTGGCTAGGAATATTGAAAAAATACTAGGAACGTATTTTTTCATCTGGTGTTTTCAATTTTATTGACTACTTTGTAGCGCGCCTGCTGGTGAATAGGCACACTGAAAGAAAAATCGAGATAACATGAAAAAATAATTTCTTGAGTGGAGAACATGCATGCATATTCGATCGGTGCTCTTCGGGCAAAAGGAGGATAATACGCAATGAAAAAATGATATTTTTTTCTGGAAAAGAGGTAATATTCTTGAAGAGACAAAGTAAGTTTGAGAGAAGGAAAAGATGTTACTGCTTTCCTTCAAACTCATTGCGATTGAGAGAAAGTGACGGTTATATTTCAGAAATATCTAAAGGTTCTCCCCTGTATAAATTCTGTATTGATTCAATATGAAGGTCTCTGATCAATGATTCACTGAATCGAAGCTTTTAGTATTTTGAGTCATTTTCTCATTTTTTGACACGAAATAAACGATTTCCTGAAGCAAGAAATTCTCGCTTTATCGTGAACTGTTCGTGTTCAAGTCATGAATATTTCACAGGATTCTTTCACGGTCTGACTCATTATGTGGAATTCTTATCGCCAGCTTTTTATCCTTAATAAGAGATGAGATATTTGACATAAGAAATTAGTCTTGTGATATTATGTCGATATTTCTCCCAGTGCACTCACGAGTGCAGCCACAATGAAGGCAACGCAAGGTATGCGCGACGCTTGCAATTATCAAAAATAATTGAAAAACAGTTGAACAATTATTTCACGCCTTGGGGTGTGCGACATTGCGCCACAAAAAAATTTACATAACTCGTAGTAAAAGACGTCTTTGACGAGGGTAATTACAACCCTCGCCTTTGGCTCTGGCTGTAAACCTCACACTCGCCAAAAACGTCATTCACCAACTCGTTAGATAAAATACTATGAAATCCTATGATTTTCATTTCATTTCAATAATTAATAGATTTAAGGAGTTATAGGCGATTGAAAATATCTGTAAAACGTCTTTTCAATTAACTGTGACTTGATTTGATTACACGGTTCGGCAAAAGTCGGACATCGCCGACCTCGAAAACCATACTAACCCGTCCAACTATCCATTTGTTACGAGGAATGGGTAAATAGGGGAATTAGAAAGAATTGAGCTTCCTGCAAGTTCCCTATTGGGATGAGATCGAATCGACTAAACAAATCGCCTTTTCGTTAATTCGTAGATCAATTAATTTTTTTACAAACTAGGCATTCATGCGCGCTGTCGCGCACGACCACCTTCAAGTGAGCGCTGTAACCCACAATAACATCCTCGTAGTCATGGAAATCATTGATTGATCCATCAACTAATCGCAAGGCGAATAAAAAGTTAACAATCAAAATAATCATTCATTGTCAATCAAGTTCATGAAAAAGGATACTTCAAATTGTTCATTTTTGCCATTTTTCAATATTTCAACACTTCAACATTTTTTTCCGCGAAAACTAGAAGTGATAGCAAGATTTCTCAAAAGAAATGTAAAAATCAGCATTAAAATATCTCTGAGATAGAGTCGGTTTTGTTTTCGAATTCGAAAACGTCCGAATTTTATCGAACCGTGTTGTTGATTGTTGAGTTTTCATGATTTTTCGAAATAAAGAATGAAGAATTTATCAGGTATAAGAATGTCAAAAGACATGTTGCTATAACGAAAAAATGTGAAGAACTTGTCAGAAAAAATTATCGACTTCCGGTCTCGAGACGAATTTTCTGTTCACCTTGATGTAAATATTTCCTTTATTCAATTATGGGCCAAGCACACGGTCGTACCCACGCGGCAGCAGTTAATCAACCAATATTAATATCACGAGTGGCACACGCTGGCCTTACGACATCGTCCAACATCCTCCCAAAGGTAGATACAAGTGTATTAGTAAGCCATGTTCACGCGTAGCTCTCTCATATTTTTGGCCAGTGGGCAAGATTCATGCGGGAGACGTGAAACAGTGGTGAACCTGTCGTGTCTGTCATTCTGCTGCTGCACTCGAGGTCTTTTTAGGATTCAATGAATAATAACATCTGAGAGCCTACCGCAATTTGATTGATTTTCGGATAAATGAGAATGGACTTCACACTGTGTTTTAACGAGCCGTGAAGCTACTCGGCTAATTAAGAAGATTAATCATTTTAGATTCACCTGTCTACCACTGTAATTTAAATCACGTAAATTTCATTGGAACGATTCTCATTCCACTAAACTGTTGATCATTTTGATTAATGTGAAGGGGAAAAATTGATACTCACAGGTAACTGTACCGTCAGCTGATGATGGCAGTGGGATATTGTTGAGTCTGATTGAATTGAATTTGCTGGTAGTATCGTGTTGGCTTTTTGTACTACGTTTTGTTGTTATTGTCTCCTGGACAGTTGAGCTGCTGTGCTGCTCGATGACACTCTCCTGGTGCTGACTCCTTCTGCCACGTCTGTGGGTCTTGTGGGTGCTTGTCTCACGATACTCCTCAGATGCCTGCCCAGAGAGATATTTTCATAGAAAATTAGTGTGCAAGCAACTCGACGGTGAAAGGCATTCTAAAGTTGACCGGAAAATAACGAGAAGAACGAAAAAATCTTTCTAATATTATTAGAAATGCTTATCAAGTGGGTTTCACTGCAATTTCTAGAAACTTCGTCATTGAAAATCCACAATTTGATGAGAAAATCAATGGATACTTTGAATTTCAGTTGAATTATCCCATACAAAATAATAGAAATCATGAAAATTCAGGGAAGTACATACATTCTTGAATTGTTAATTAATTGAAAATTCTGCGTAATTTAGTACTGAATATTTATGTTTTGATTGAAAGTTCACGTAAGTTGAAGAATTTCCGTCTTTTTCCCACTCAAAAATTTGGAATACCATTGAATATTCTGTGAAATTTGGAATTCCATTATTTTTTCCCTATTAAATCGAATTCAATGCCGCTCTCTTGGGAATTACTACCACACGGTCCATGAAATTTTTTTGCATCAGTACAATTATCGCTTTATCGTGCATTTGTCGTATAAACTCATTTTTTAATGCACAAGACTTAGTCTTTTTAACTGAGATGTATCGTTCCTTTTTCATGTAATTCTTTACTTTTTCGAGTCATTTTTTTCCGAGTGGAAAACATTTTGATTCAAGAAATGACGCATTCATCCTGATGCGTTATTGGCGCATTCATCTTGACTCATTGATTCACTCAAATGTGTCTCTTTCCCCCTCCGAAGAATAATATAATATGCATTTATTCAAAGACACGTTATGAATTCTTGCCCTATTCAAGTCATCAACACTGAGAAAAAAAATTTTACTTCTGCCAAGGAAATTTACTTGCCATACCTAAATGTATACAAATATTTGCATTTGAAATGCGTAGATTTTCTTGTAGTTATTAAATTTACTTGGCAGAAATAATTTTTTTTCTCAGTGAACGGAATTCTATTGTTTCAAATATTGACATATTGACATCTTCTTCAATTGCTATGACACTGACAAAGTGTCTTGCGGCCGGGTCACAGGACATCGAGGGATAGGATTTCGGAGTAGGTAGGAGCGGAACCAAGATGATTCTCGATATTAGTTTACAAGAAAAATCTACTGAAACAATGGATCTTCTTTTTTTTTATCAAGGAGAGATGCCACCAAAATTTGGATATCGTAAAGTCTGCATGGAATCTGTTCGAGTGCATTCTGTAAATTAAGGATGTTTATCCAAAATGGCGAGAGTTCAAAAGAAATTGATTTTTTTTCAACTGAGAGATGAAGTTATTCCCTTTATCTTGATTCACGGAGAAATTTTTTAGAAAAATTCTAGTGCTAGCGCGGGAAAAGAGCCGCGAGTGACGGCCAGGAAAAAATTCCAGTGCCGGCACTAGAAATTTTATTGGGGAAAACGTGAATTTTTCCCCGTATTTCTGTTAAAATTTCCAGAAATTTTTCCAGAAATACCAAGAAATGGTACCTTAACAGCACTAGAATTTTTCACAGCCGGTGGATTGTGATTTTTTCCAGTACTCGAACTAGAATTTTTCTAGAAAATTTCTCTCCGTGTAAAAATTTCAATCCACCAATCCACGTGTATTATTTAGGAGTGGAGTGAACTAGAATGCACCAAACGCATGTGCTAACATGCGCTGATAGGGGATAGAATCTTTCAAATATTTCCTCGTTTTACCCGGGTAGGGTAAGCTACCCAGTAGATGGACACTGCCCTGTAGATGGACGAGCTACTTTTGGATAGGAAATTACGCAAAAAAACACTGAAATGTGAATTGTTGCTTTGAATTTTCACCAACTGTCGTGATTCTTAACCCCTGAGTGACGATTTTTTTTCGATCAATTTTTTTTTTCATTTGCTAAAAAACAAACGTCCATCTACTGGGCGGTTTTCTTAGGCGTCCATCTACTGGGCAGTTTACCCTACCCCAAATTTTTTCTTTGGTCACTCGATTCAGTGTAGTTTTGGACATTACCTTTCACTTTTATTTCTATTTTTGGAGTCTTCTAGTAGATGAATTATAAATTTCAATATAAATCCCATAAGAGCCCGTGTATAAAGAAAAATTTGTTCATTTATTTCTGGCGAGACTATTGCGATTAATTTTTTTAACATCAAATAAGTTAGTTTCACATGTTCTGCTATCAACCAAAAAATTATAGAATTTTCCTTGAACATGAAAAACTAAAATTTGCTGAAAATGGCTAAACATTCTTTAAAAAAAAACGAAGAAAAACCCGGCCCTTCTAATTTTCGTTAGCTAAAATTACGATTTCTCATTGTTCTCTGAAATTATTCTTATGCTGGCTCGTTACTTTCCGAACATCATCCTTCGTTCATAAAGCGCCCATACAATATACGAGTACGGAGAATACTGTATAATGAAAATTTTCCCTAAGATATGAGTAAAAATACCGAACAAAATGTAATCGTAGAAAGAATCGAAATGTAATAAAGTTACCCTTTATTGTCGTGACTTTTGAAGAACGTAATGTAAAATTTGTCTCTCCCCCCCCCCCTCCCCTCCCCGGGGCGGGGATTATAACTCTCAGTATTGCAATTTTTAATTTGTTTTTTTTTCCCGTTACATTTTGATACGTTACAAAGGAAAAAATTTCACATCTTGCCCAGAAAATTTTCAGTATAAACTGAAATTGGAAATTCACGAAATGATATATTGCTGGGAGAAATGGACTAACAAACAGTGAAATTCTCTTTGCGTAATATTCATGAGATTTTCAAAATTACTAGTATTCACACTTATACTTACGGCGCCATGAATTTTTAGGAATAAAACGGAGAAATCGATCTATTGTCCTACATTTTTCACTCACTCCCAGATTAAAAGCCACCCGAAAACGTATTTCGCTGCACGTTTCTCTCCGCGTCAGGGTAGTTTTTACTACATTTTTCTTGCGGTGCGCGACCGAAATATGGAATGTCAATAAAAAACAATTTTTAGTGCTAGTATTGGAAACGTGACAATCGACCGGCTATGAAAAACTCTGGTTCTCTTCAAGTGAACTTCCTGTTCGTTTCGAATAAAATTCATTTACCCAATGAGTTGGTGAATTACGGTTTTGGCGAGTGTAAGGTTTACGGAAAGAGCTAAAGGTGAGGGTTATAACCACACTGTCATTGTCACACCGTGCAATAAGTCGCGTTTATCGCACGCTGCGCTCCGCCGACTTCTGCACGGGGTGACATAAAGTGTTTTTCATCACTTGTGCGTAAAGTGAAATTGCAAAATCCTACTTTCCACACATCGGGATGAAAAATAGGGTTCGACTCTCGTGGGAAAAATGTTCTTTGATCCTTGGGAGTCAAAGGGGGTCAAAAAATACTTGTGCACTCGTACACTGAGAAAAAAAAATTCTAATATCTGAAACATATTTTCTTGAGACAAGTAAATTTTCTTCAATTGCTTAATTCTCTCAGGCATCCCAACTCACATGACCCGAGAAAGGCCTCATGCTTTAAAATATTCTTATACTCAAGTATGATTTTGTCGCAAATGAACTTTCACTTTACGCATAAGTGATGAAAAATACTATTACCAACTCGTTAGGTAAAATACCAAATAGATTTCTCGTGAAATTTTTGCGAATTCCTGTGAGAACTTCCTACCAATACGGGGAAAATTGACGTGCTATCCAACAAAATTTCCAGTGTTAGAATTAGAATTATTCCCTATTTGACACTTTGCGCCCCTTTTCTCGTGCTGGCGCTGGAATTTTTCAGAAGAATTTCTCTCCTTGTAATCGGAACGACTTACACGCACGGAAATATTCCACGTTGTAGGGTATAAACTTGAATGAGCTTTTTGCGTTCTTCTGCCGACATAAATTCTCAGAAAATCCGGAAAAAGCTACGATTTTTTTTTCATTTCCCAAAAACTTCGGTGCGTCTACCCTTAATAACTTCTACCCGGGCCAACGGCTACTTCATCCGTTCATTGCGCAACGAAGACCAAGAGGAATTCAATGGATGGAGAGGGAGAAAACCTTGGATCTTGTTAGATGGGACATTTTTCGCGTCACGAGAAAATTATTCACGACTCATTTAGAGCGACTTCCGTTCCAATCCTATGCAACTTTAGAATGAATAAAGTAAATCAGTTGTATAATTTTCCAGGAATCGACAGAAGATCTTTGGAGGTTCGAATGCATATTTTTCTGGAAGGTTGTGGGAAACCAAAGATATATTTTTGGATGAGAAGAAGATTTTCTAATGGTTAGGTGAATATTCTTCCTGCAATTACCTCCAGTTGCACTGTCAGGAAAAATATAAAATTTCAGGGACAGTTGACTAGTAATGTTTAGTTGAGTGACACTAACCGCGATTTAAGGGGAAAAAAATGATGAAATTTCAGATTTCACTGAAAAATTAGTGAAATTACAAATTATTGATTTAGCATTGAGATAAAAATTTATCAACTTATTTGAAATTTCAATAAAATCATGAATATTCATTGAAGATTCAGAAACATGTTTACCGGAATTTTTCTGAGTTTTACTAATTTTCAGGGAATAATTGAACTTAAATTTACAGTTCTCATTGTTTTTTCCATGAAATTTCGAATTTTCGATTACGAAATTCCTTGAAATTTCAGTGGAACTACAATGTGAGAAAAATTCTCGAAAAGTGTACTGGAAATTTCAGTCAAAAATTTTTAACCGTTTACGAAGTGTTCAAACGAGATGATTGAATGTACAACGAAGCCGGTTCTTGGAAAGTTTATGATCGAATAAGAATAGTAAAATTTCGATAGAGAAAATGAAAAATTCAGATAAACAAGTCATTCAACAGGCACTGAAATTCAGTTCGAAATTTGTTCTTTTAAGAGTTTATCCGTTATTCCGTACATCTGGCGCCTAATACGCAAATATTTTCCAAATCGTAGGAATTTTAATTTTCCATAAACACAGTTTATATGGTTTTTGAGCACGTTCTGTTTTGTTTATTGTTTCCTTTACTAAGAATACTTTAGTGTCTTTTCGAATTAGCACTGTCGTCTAACTTTGGAGCACTCAATGGTTCTATTCTATTTCTAGTGCTCATACTACCCCCATGAGTTATCCACATTTACGCGACTTCACGTACGATAAACTGGATTGAACCCGACATTTACTGCCTCCCTCACGATTTCTCCACTTTAATGTTACAATTTTACCTTTGAACCAAAGAAACCCCAAAATGCGACTGCGTCGCTGAACAGTCGACGAAATACTCGTATGAACAATTCTAAATTTCAGGCTAATACAATAATAGAACTTTCAACATGCTCCCCACCCTCGTGCGTTCAACAATGTTTGAATACAAAAATGGAAAGTGCGGGAATTGAAAATACTCGCCAGAGTCCCCATCGTCACGCTCATTAGTACATCCCAGGTCCCCGATGCTCTCCATTTACTCAATTACCCGTCATTTGAAAAAAATCTTCAAAAAAAAAAAACTGAAGAAAATGAACAAGTGATTCTAGGCTCTCCAGGCAAATTCCCGCAGCTGTCGGGCAATTTCTCACCACCTTTGAGCTCCCTCATTTCACGCTAGCCACTTTCTAAGCTTGTTTATATCTTTCATTAACGAAAACTCTAAATAATAGATAAATTTCTCTAGCAATTCATGGGGCGTTAGAAAATAATCCAGCGATGAAGGCTCGAGACAGGATAAAATCCCATTTTCATCAGTTTATTTATGACTGACTCCTCACGATATATAAGGCTGTTTGTCGTAAATTCAACGAGACAACCGAATATGCTTAATTTAATACCAGTATATGTATCTAGATAATCCACCACTCTTCCCAGTCCACCCACAAGTTCCTCTTCTCTCGTTTATTCGAAACCGTTATAAATTCACGAAAAGCCCAGAGCGATGAAAATAGTCACTTGGTCAGCCTCACGGTAACGTTCTCCCATTCTCGCTGATTCAGATTCAAACGTATTGAATTTCATAACAATTATCAGAAATTATGTCATCAATTTTGTGGTTATTTTTTACATCGAATACATTATGAAGGTACCTTTCAATAAACTATCACAACTCGAGTCCTCGAGAATAGTTCTCGACACACAATTGTCAACAGGTGGTTCAGATTCGCTCTGATTATATCTATTTCTTCACACGAACCAAAGTCTTCGGACAATGAGTCAACGTCTCGGGACGTTGGGGATTGATAAAATTAATTAAAAAAAAAAACGTGTCGATGTGGTCCCGACGAGTTTTCGGCGTGAACTGTGTCGCTGGAACCCCCGCGACAATATCCTGTACGTGTTGGCCTCTATAGTTAGATACACATTTGAGATAGATCATCCCCCCCTTCCCCACCCGCCCACTCTAGAAAATCCGGGAGACGATGAAGAGACAGATGCTAACAGGCACAAACTTAATAACACCTTGATATTAATGCTCCAGCGCTTCGGGTTTCTTTGGGAATTTTGGAAACATCAGTTCTTTTGATATAGGCTGGAAAATGTGATGCAAGGGGGTCATTCGTCATGTTCATTTGAGAAGTATTCTTGGGTTTCGAATTTGATTTTGGCTCATTACGAGGTGCGAATGCATGTAAGCTCGTTATTATGTGGATTTATTATTTCGGTATTGTTCAGAATAGGTTCCATCAATTTCTTGGCGAATTTCAGAGGAGGAATTCATTGAATGGAACGTAATTAGATAACTTATGGGCTTATATTCATTTCACGCGTGCATAGAATTTCCTAGAAACTCCTTGCATTCCCCCGAATTTCCTAGAAACTCCTTGAATTCTCTCGAATTTTCTGGAAACACCCCTTGAATTTCCTCGAAGGTCCTAGAAACTCTTTACATTCCTTTGAATTTCCTAGAAACTCCTTGCATTCCCCCGAATTTCCTAGAAACTCCTTGAATTCTCTCGAATTTTCTGGAAACACCCCTTGAATTTCCTCGAATGTCCTAGAAACTCTTTACATTCCTTTGAATTTCCTAGAAACTCCTTGCATTCGCTCCAATTTCCTAGAAACTCCTTGAATTCCCTCGAATTTCCTAGAAATTCCTTGAATTCTCTGGAATTTTCTAGAAATCCCTTGAATTTCCTCGAATGTCCTAAAAACTCTTTGCATTCCCTCCAATTTCCTAGAAACTCCTTGAATTCTCTCGAATTTCCTAGAAATTCCTTGAATTCTCTGGAATTTTCTAGAAATCCCTTGAATTTCCTCAAATGTCCTAAAAACTCTTTGCATTCCCTCCAATTTCCTAGAAACTCCTTGAATTCTCTCGAATTTCCTAGAAATTCCTTGAATTCTCTGGAATTTTCTAGAAATCCCTTGAATTTCCTCGAATGTCCTAAAAACTCTTTGCATTCCCTCCAATTTCCTAGAAACTCCTTGAATTCTCTCGAATTTCCTAGAAATTCCTTGAATTCTCTGGAATTTTCTAGAAATCCCTTGAATTTCCTCGAATGTCCTAAAAACTCTTTGCATTCCCTCCAATTTCCTAGAAACTCCTTGAATTCTCTCGAATTTCCTAGAAATTCCTTGAATTCTCTGGAATTTTCTAGAAATCCCTTGAATTTCCTCGAATGTCCTAAAAACTCTTTGCATTCCCTCCAATTTCCTAGAAACTCCTTGAATTCTCTCGAATTTCCTAGAAATTCCTTGAATTCTCTGGAATTTTCTAGAAATCCCTTGAATTTCCTCGAATGTCCTAAAAACTCTTTGCATTCCCTCCAATTTCCTAGAAACTCCTTGAGTACATAGCCAGAAAAAGCTCTCCAGATACGCGAAGAGGTCCTTCCAAGTGCAAATGTCAGTCAGCGCCTTGTGTCCCTATTCTCTCAGAATTATTCAGAATACGCTCATCAATTTTTCGTAAATTTTGACAGAAATTCCGTTCTTTCTATTTTCCTTCCTTTTTATCTTGCAGCTAATATAACGATAGTTTTCAGCAAGTTTTTGCGGATTGTTTGTGTGTTGTTCTATATTGATAAAGAATGCCCCTGAAAAGGAATGCTGTATGCATTCAAGGCGTAGTATCTCTGCAGATTCTGTGAAGTTTGTTTTACTTTCTTCTACGCATGATTGAAAAATGGAATATCGAAACATGATTTTCATGCACCATTTCCTCGGCTAGAGCAACACTCTCACGATGTGCAAGGCGATCATTTCTCATGTTTTCTGGGACAATATTTTCGCGTTTCCAATTTGATTTTGGCTCATCACTAAGTGTCAACGTAGGTAAGCTCGGTAGTCTGTGGATTTGTCATTCCAAAGTTATTCATAATTTGTTTCATCAATTTTTGGGCGAATTTTGGAAGAAGAAATTATCAAATGTAGAATAATTACAGACATAATATCATAATTACTCAATCAAATCTAACGTTCCTTGCCCGCATGCAATTCTCTTAGTAATGAACGACTGAAGAACGAACTATCGAGATTAAGTTTTTTCTGCGGGATTGCCTCACGTGTACAAAAATTCTCGATGTGCAAAGGAATCATCTGTCATGTTCATTTGAGAAGGATCCTGAAGTTTCGAATTTGATTTTGACGTGGATACGTCTATGGTTTCAATATGGGGGGTCATTTTGGGAAACGGTCCTTATGTGCAGCGCCATCTATCGGAAGTCTAGAAAATTGTAGGCATTTCGAGGTAATTCAGGAAGTTTCTTGAAATTTCGAAGAAATTCAGGGAGTTTCTAGAAAATTCGAGGGAATCCAAGGCGTTTCTAGAAGAATCCAAAGGATTCAAGGAGTTTCCGGAAACTTCGAGGGAAAGAAGGAAAGGCCATGGACGTATTCACGTACAATTACAGCTATATCGAAGATGCAGCCGCCTGCAATTTTTTGTCATTCTGGCCGTAAGGTAGCGTTTCACGGACACCACGCGAAACTCTGTAGAGCGAACTGAGGGCTACAAAAAAAAAAATTTCCAAAAATTTTACTATTTTCCTTAGATTTCGAGATATTCATTGAAAACCGGCCAATAGTCAAGATCAACTGTCTCAGCGCTTCGCTACTGATTTAATCTCAAAATCTCTCGTTCCGGAGATAATCACCCAACTACCAAAATAATAAACATAACAATATTATTTCCTGCTTAACAATGCATGGAATTCCTAAAACTCGAAAATCGTAAGATGAGAAATGCACAGAGATTAATTCCTCGCAATCATTAGGACGATGAACTATTGAGAACCACGACATCCGATCGCCTTGTTCGTAATTTAGGTGGACAGATTAATGGGTAATTACGATTGTCAACGACAGACAAGTTGGTCTATTATTTCAACTCCCAGAGCGTGTTCTACAGTTAATAATGTACCCCAAAAAAACTCACCGTGAATGTGTAGAAGCCATTTGGCACCGGTTGACCACCAAACTTAATGCTCAGTGTGTAGTCACCCGCATCCTCGACTTTGTAGTATACATCAACATTGCCATCCCCCTTGTCTTCGATATCGATGTCCACCACCTCACTAAAATTAGAGTGTTTCGAGTATTTCAAGTGTTATCCATTTCCCTGTCAGCATTAACAAAATTTCCAATGGATTGTTGGGTTAACACATGTGGAGTATCAGTCGGTGGTATCGCTGAGGGGCTGTTGGATCATTGCCAAATAATTCGAGAGACTTGTCAAAAGGTAGAGAACAGGGAAGAGCGTTTAGCTGGCATTGTTGGAGGCGAATGTCTGTCACGAGAGTGTTTGTCACGCTACAATTGTCTGCATAATGTCAAGTATAAAGTGTTTGTCGCAAAAGTACCACGAGTATGCCAATGTCACTGGGGTATGACCACTTCCTCAAACTTGATCCATTGAATAACAAACAGATTTCGCGAAAAAGATCACTTCCCTCTACAAAAATATCTCCCAAACTTTCGCACAATTAATTACGATGTCTTTCTCTCATCGTGATTCCAATGTTTCCTCCTACAACTTATTTATAAATTCCCAAGAAAAAGTGAACGATAAAAATTTACGTGTAGGTGAAGAGAACAGGATGATGATAAATACCGCTGTGGATCACAGAAATAGTTCCTCCACCGAGGACAGATATTTATATTCCAATATTTTTTCACTCCCCTCATTTCGAAAGTATCAACACACTTCTAAATGGGAGCTACACGAGAAAGAATAAAACCAATAGAAAATAAAATATCACTGAAATAGGGCGAACAAACCTGCCAGATGTCGAGCGAATTCTGCAGGTAACAGCTCCACGTCCAGCATTCTGGGTATCAACGTTTATGGAGTACTCCTCGCCTGGTGCTAGAGTCTGCTGAATACCCTCTTTTATTTTGCATTGGTCGGCTTTACCAGTGGACACACTCTGGACATTAACTGGGCTGTTAGGAACTTCTTTCCCTCCGTATTTGACGTTTACTTTGTAACGCCCACAGTCGTCGGGGAGATACGTGGCCTTGTATTTGCCATCCCCGATGTTTTGGACAGTCACTTTACGTGGGGCTTGATCAGGTCCCTGTGAATATAACGTTGAGTTGTTGTGCCAAAAATGTAGGAAGCATTAATCATCGGAGCTGGGTGAAATAGTATCTGAATAATTGATTGAAATATTCATGACGAATTGTCACTTCAAAATTATCAAATGTGATAAATGAAGTGATTTCTGAATACTTTCAATTAGAATATCTATGTGAATGGTGTTGGAAAGAAATAGTTGTTCGGAATTTTTGGAACTGAAACTGAGCTTTTTCAAGGGCCATGAGTTTTTGGCTTTGAACTGCTCCTGGCACCACCATTTTCATCCGATTTAAACTTTTTTTTTCAAAATGTTCGTTAGATTCCGCAGAATAGAACTAGGTTTTTTCGATCAGCTCGATTAGAGTAAACCCCCCATTGTTCGAACATGTCCAGTGATGGACGTAATTTACAACTTCGTTATACAACGGATGCTTAATGCAGTGCAATGAGACTTTTATTCTCTTGAAAGACCAAGATAATGTGTACAAATTCACTGAGACCTTGTGCAATATTCCCATATTCGATGGGTTGGGTTCGAAATTTTTCTTAGTTTTTCCGTTATCCCATGATATATCAAAAGTCGCTCGATATTTATTTTCATCAACCAAAGACTTTCAAATTTCACGAGGGTCCCCCCTCAAAAGACCGGATTCAGTAATAACGTAAAAATAAGAATGTTTCAGAAGTTCTCATTGAACAGGGCCAATGTCCCATTTCAATACATTAAGCATTTGTTCTACAATAAATATGTAAATTAGTTCGATCACTGATTCACCATATTCTGATAGAATAAAGTCGCAAGTATCTGTTTCATTTTAATTACGCAACCGATGAACGGAGAAGTATTCTTTCGTCTTTCAAAGCAATAAACTTGGGATAGAGGAAGGTGGGGCGAGGTGGAACGTTTGCCATCAACTGTCATGCTTAATATCTTTGTTTATAAACAGAGATATTAGGATTTTAAGACGATAATGAACGTTCCACTTTCCCCCAATCTCTCGAATTATATCGTATCCAGTTTCTGATATATTGACATTTTTTTATTGATCATTAGACAGATTCGAGCTGCTATTCTCCTGAAAATCGTCACAGGCCCTAGAAAATCTGGGAATCACATGGAACATTCTCGATAGATTCAGAAATGTCATGATTTTTCAGAGGATTCTGTATCTGTCTGAATTGTCTTACAACCTTCTCGAAATCTCCGTAGAAACTAACAAGTTTATAACCCAAGTATTACAAAGGCATAAGACATCTTTCAATTTGTCAGTGGAATTTTCCCCAGCTCTCATCATGCACAAACTCATCTAAAAGATACTCACCAGCACTTGAACCTCGAGATCGCCATATCCAGCTTTCGATGTATCGACGACAAAGTCTGTTGGGAAAGATGCTGTGCAGACCGAGGCAACGCCAGGACCGGAGAGAACTACTTTATTGGGATCGCAGCCTGGTTTCACGTGGAAACTGTAGGGGCTATCAGGGATTCTCTTATTCCCGTATAAAACATCAACTTGGATGTTAGCTCCAGCTGCTGGGGGCATATAAGTTACCTCGTAGAGGCCATTCCCCCGACTCTCGATCTTGGGTTTCTGCATCTGGCCCTTGTCTGTCTTCAGTTTTACGTTGAGTTGCTCTCCAGGGCATTTCGAAGTGTCCACCATGAATTGCGCTGGTACACCCTCGCGAACCATCTCGGGCTCTAGACCTGGTCCGTAGGCTATCACGTCATTTCTACCCTCGACTGCGTTCTCCACTGGGACCCTGAAGGGCGAGCCTGGGATGTGCTTCTCACCGAACTTGATGGCTACGTCGTAGTCACCTGGTTCTGTGGGTACATACTCCACACTGCAGGAGCCATCGTAGTTGTCCTTGCAGGTCATCTTGGCTTCAGAGGGACCCTCGATGGCAAGACCCAACCCACCATTTCCAGCATCTGATGATATTGAATATTTTTTTTTATTCATATTTCTTTCCTACTACCATTACGGTTTTATAGGCTCTCCTTTCGTCTGCCTTGCTTCTCCCACTTCTCTCTTCTGATTTTTTATCTGCGTTACCATGGGCCATCTTACTCTTAACTGTGTCCCATTCGGGCTAGGACTCCACGGGAAACCATGGAAAACCCCGGAACAACACCACCTAACTCACCCAACCATTACGGTCGACTGATATTGAATAATTTCTGAGGGATCGTTCATAAATCACGCAAGGCGTTATTTCCCATTTTTCGACTCCTCCCTTCCGATTCCCCGACATTTCTTCCTCAAAAACTCATGCTAGCATTTTTTTCCATTACATTCTCCTTTCAATTCCCGTAATCAATTTTAATTACACTGAGGAAAAATTCTAATATCTGAAACATATTTACTTGAGACAAGTACGGTTTCTTCAATCTCTTAGTTCTTCCAGATATCTCAACTCACGTGCCCCGAGAAAGGTCTCATGCTTTCAAATATTCTTGTACTTGAGTATTATTTTATCGCAAATGAACTCACTCAAATGGCTAGAAGAATCGTCAACCTTCGAGTATTTATGGTGTTCATGATTTTTTTATGGATTTCCTATGTTTCGATATGTAATATATTCATGATGTAACGCGGAACGATAGTGATAAATGAGAATTTATTCATTTATATGGATGGAAATTGAGGGTCAAAAGTTATTCGGTCATTCCATGCTTACGGCCAATCGCGATTTTTTTTAGCTTTATAGATTCTGTGATTGTGACCCTACTCTACACTGATAGAAAAGGTGGAACGATTCAGTTAATAGTTAACGAATCGTGGTAATAGTTAAAATGTCTCGTTTGGTTCAATTAAACCGTTCTATCAGTGTAGTTAAGAATAGGGTCTCAATTATAGAAAAATAGTTGTATAAAATTTTTCATTGGATAAATTAGGTAAATCTGTCGCGCTCTATTTAGATACAAAATGACTGGCAAGAATTTCTTTGCTCATTTTTGTGACGCGAAATTCCGTCACTTTTTTAAAAGTGTAATTTACGTGTAAAATGACGGTAAATTGGCCGGTCAACTTTATCTGTTACATCCCTAGCCAAGATTATTAATTAATTTGGACAAGCCAATTTCAGACTCACCACTTGTCTCAACGGTGAACTTATTGACCTTATCCACAATTCCCTTCTTCAAACCTGGTCCGTAAGCCTTGCACTTGGTCGGATCACAAATCCTCTTGACATTAACCGAGAACGGAGAGCCCGGAACAGGCACATTATCGTAAAGAATATCAATGGTGTGAGGACCCTCCTCAAAAGGTGTGTAACTGATACGGTAAGTTCCATCGTTCTGTGGCGTTATTGTCTTCTCAGTTTTTCCTCCACTTGGATTCGTAATTGAACAAGAAACCTTTCCATCATCTGTTTTCGTTTTCGGAACTGCCCTGGTGTCAACAGTGAATTCAGTCGGGATGTTCACAGCTATGCCTAAAAATAAAAGCCAAATGTTGAGCACAATTTCAATCACCAAGAGGATCTAATCATCATTCTGAAATTATTTCATTTGACAAAGAAGACTATTCAGTGGCGGAGGGGTAACACGCATGAGTACTTTCTGTGAATGTATTCTATTGGGTTCTATGGGAAATCCTGGAATGGTCTTTCCGCAAAAATTCGATAAATCTAATGAATCCCTACAGGAAATTAGTCTAGAGAAATTCTTCATACGTGAAAGTACAACAAAATAAATATGACATTCTTGTCGAACGGGGAATTATTCCCTCAATGAACATCTTCAGGGTGAAACATCTTGTTGAATTTCTAACGAAAAAACGACTTGTTGAATTTCTAACGAAAAAACTTAGAGAATTTGAGCTGATGAAATTCTATAGAAAATATCTCAGTAGAATAGAAAAATTGAATTCTATTGACTTTTCTACTCAATATTTTCTATTGAACATGTCCATAGAATCGGCCAAAAACTAATAGAACAGTTCAATAGAAATTCAATAGAGTTTTCTAACGAAGTCGATAGGTTTTTCTATTAAATTTTTTCGTCCGTGAAAAGCCGTACAGAAAATACACTCGTTACGTTTCACCCCTCCGCCACCTCACATACTCGCCAAATATAAAACCGAAATATCTAACTTCAAAAAAATAGAGAGGCATAGAAAGCAAATGCGGTCTTGAACGAAAGTCAATCAACAGCTAAAGTAAATGACAAAAATCCAAACAAAAAAACTCATTAGTCCAAGGCAATCGGAAAAGCAGGAGGGAGAATAGGAGAAAAGTTTCCACAAACTCATGCTGTGCAACTATTCCAAGCAATTGCAAGAGAAAAAAAAATCAAAAAAAAATCAAGTTTTGCACGCGTCTCCTAACCATGGGGCTGAATGCCATTTCCGATGACCTTGATCTTGGAAAGATCGGCGTCCGGTCCGATGATAGCTTGAAACGGTGATCCAGGAATGTGTCGATCATTGAAAGTGATATTAATCCCATAATCTCCAGGTTCAGTAGGTAGATAAGCAACTGAGCATGTGCCATCCCCATTGTCACGACAGTTGATGGCAGCCTCGCATGGGCCTTCAACAGTGACACCCAGTCCACCCTGGCCAGCGCCGCGTGTATCAATGACAAATTCAGCGGGCCTACCGACAAGGCCACGATAAAGGCCAGGTCCAGTAGCACGTACTTTCGATGGATCACTTCCATGTACACAATTTAAGCGGTATGGATGTGGTGTTATTGGCTCACCACCAAAACTAATACCCAACAAATATTCACCTAGTTCCATAGGTGTAAAGTTAACGAGATAACCATCATGTGTTGGTATCAGGTGCGCCATAACACGATTGCCTGATGGTGCTGTTATTGCCACTTGTATCTCAGCCGTTCTGTTGCCAGTCTCCTCCGTTATCACTCGAAATTGTTGAAGGCTGTTGACCGGTGCCGCTGCGAGGATTTTTTTTGTTTTGTTTTTGATGAACGATTGCTGCTTTTTTTTGTTTATTTTGATTTTGTTAGCAAGTATAATGATTATTCGCATAATTAAGGGAATATGACTTATGCGCTTGGTTAGTCATCTCTCTTGTTTCTAAGTGAAAGTCCTCTTCTCATTTTTCCATGAGACATCAAGTGAATATTAGAAATACTGTTTTTACTCGTTTTGTCGAGAATTTTTGAATGCTGGAAGATTAGGTGATTTTGTAAGAGCATTAGCATGTGCAAAAAGGTTGCGATGTTTTTGATATAAATATTTTTAGCTGAAAGTCCAAGTGGTAACTACGTAACTTGCTACCGAGGAATTTCAAACTGTAGGGGTATTCTGAAAATAAACATTTTTGGTTGTAGCGATCCGTTGGAATGACGCTAACCAGTCATACGACGCGGGAACACCTTGCGACCTAATTCAATGATTCCCAGTGTAATCGGTTGCATTAAGGATATCCAAGTATTTTGGCTGTTTCTTTTTTTTTATAATTTTTAACATTCGTAGTTACACATCAGAGCTTCCTTACAAACCTTATTTGATCCTGAGTTCCGCACATTTGGAATGATTTTATGGTTTGCAGTTTGAAGGTTTACATTTGATTCTCTATTTTTAACTATTAGAAAACATTTTTTTCAATCTGAAAAAATAGCAGGTCTTCGTCTTGAGGAAAATTCATGATAAAATTGAAGAATGCAATTTTTGACGATAGAAACTTTTTTTTATAAATCATTTATAAACAATCAATTTTGTTCCCTGAAAATCATTTCTTACTCATAACAGTGATCCAGGGATGAAACAATGTAACGAAAAAATCTAGCGAATTTGTTGGAAAATTCTATTGGATTCCTATTGAATTTTCTATTGGTTTTTGGCCGATTCTATTGAAACGTTCAGTAGAAAATATTCAATATAAAAAGTCAATAAAATTCGATTTTTCGACATAACTTATTCTATTGAGATATTTTTTGTAGAATTTCCTCGGCTCAAATTTTCTAAGTGTTTTTATATGATTTTCTTGATGAGATGAACAGAAAAATAGGACGAAAAAAAATTAGAAAATTTGAGCCGAGGAAATTCTACAAAAAATATCTGAATAGAATAAGTTATATAGAAAAATCGAATTCTATTGACTTTTTACATTGAATATTTTCTACTGAACGTTTCAATAGATTCGGCCAAAAACTAATAGACAGTTCAATAGAAATCCAGATGAATTTTCTAACGAATTCGCTAGGTTTTTCTACTAAATTTGTTCGTGCGTGTCGGTATTCAGAAGTTTACAAAAATCGATTTTATGCCACATAACAGAAGGTTTTCAAGTATAAAAATAATTTATTTCTGAGAGGGAAATATTTAAAGAAAATAATGCTATCCTCTCCTGAAAAGATGTATAGGGGAGGTAGGGGCAAAGCGGACCCTCTAAGCGAATCGTTTAGTTTTTTAAATTCTAATGAGTCAATGCACTTCACGTGGAGATCATAATCTCATTAGAATTGCAATTAAGATCTGTCATTAAATTAAAAAAAAAATTAATGTTGGGGCAAAGTGGACCCTCTGTTTTTTTAAAATTATTTTAATTTTCCGTTTGTCAGGAGTCATTGTCATGTTGTTCTACCGATTGGATAGAATGTAATCGCCGTTGATCAAAAACTCACATTTCTTGTTCACAATTAGATCCGCAGGAGCTCACACAAATTTATACTTGCCCTCATTGCATATTTTTTTAGTCAAGGTAGTAAATTTCACTTTATAAAACGTATTAGAATAATTCTGGCGACTCGATTCAATAATTTATGTAAGGGTCCACTTTACCCCACACTTTTTTTTTTCGAAGGGGTCCGCTTTGCCCCTACCTCCCCTACCCGTAGACTTGAAATTTGTGGGATTCAGTGTAATGGAAAATGTACCCAAACACTAGGAGAAATTAAAAAAATCGGGAGAAATTATATTTTTAACAAGCATCATACTTTCATTTCACTTGAACAATTTTAAAGATAGAAAAGGAAAAAGTACCCTTCGTTGATTCATCGGGTAAAATAAATTGCGGTCATCATTTTTTTAACTTTTAAACATCCCATCTTACTTCAAAAGTCGCTGAATCCCTAGCTTTAACGAAGACTTTCAAATTTTACCGCAGTCTCCCCTCAAAAAAAAACTATACGGATTTCCTAATGGAATAAAATAATGTGGGTGTTAAGAGGCCAACAATTCACATGAAACTACCCAAAACTGAGGATTCTGCTGAACGAATAATAATCAGAAACCTCTAAAAAAAAGTAATGTATTGAATAAATGCGACGGGCTGCATCTAAGCTGTCATATAAAAATGACAATCGAGAGGAAATCCTGTAATGTGTAACCCAATGTATCCCTAAAGAGTTGAACTGAAATGAACAGTTTTGATTTTCTCATAAGTTGATAAGCAATGGAATATGAAATTTTTCACTGACGAAATTTCCTGGAATTACTTGGATATCCTTCAAGGAAAACGAATTTATTTCATGAAAGAACCCACATAGAATGGCCTGGCAACCCAAACCAAATTTACAGAGACTACCTAAACATCACCCCGATGCGCAGTTTCCTCGTCGAGGAAGGAAAAAAAATTGTTGATCACCATCGTTAGCTCAAGTGCATCGGTCTTGCTAAACAAAATGCCGTATTTCCGTAGCAAACTCATTATATACACCGCGTGCCACCCGAGGAAACTTATTTTAAGTCATTGGCCCCTGTCCAAGAAAATTTAAAACTCAAATCACATTTGCAGTAACATCCTTCTTAATCCCAGGCAATTTTCTACCACCCCCAAGGATGAGCTCCTGTTTCAATACTCGTTAATAAATCAGCTAGTTAATTGCTTCCTGCTTCCCAAAATGAAAAACCATATAATTGAGGAATATAAACCCAAGGGTGTCAAGAATATTCGTGTTGAAAGTCTAAAAAATGATGTAGGAGAGATGTAAAACTCGAATATTTTGATACTCACTAGGTTCTAGCCCGTCGACCTTGATCTTGGAGACGTCCACATGAGGCTGAACGTTCACCTTCATTGGACATTTAGGTACCTTCAGTCCTCCGTAGGTGAGATCCACCTTGTAGGTTCCAGGTAGAGGCGCCACGTAGTCAACAGTGTAAGTGCCATCCTCATTATCACTCAACGTCACTGGAAGATCACGTCCATCGGGTCCAGTCATGTTGACATCGAGTTCTCCGTTGCCAGCCTCTCTGCAGTCAATATTGAAGTGAGTTGGAGTGTTAGACTTGACTCCTTTCTCGAGGCCAGGTCCAAAGGCCTGGACCATTGCTGGATTCAATGGAGAGGTGACTTTGACCCTGTAAGGGGATTTCTTCGTGGCGACGTTTCCATAATTCACCATCACCACGTGTCCAGCCCCAGAGGTCGGAGTGTAGTGAGCCTGGACAGTCCCATCTTTCTTGTTATCGAGCTTCACAGGCACTTGACGTCCAAGGGCGTCTTGAATGGCCACCTAGAATAGAATAAATTTGGTATCATTTCACCACTGCATTCGCCACACTAGGCAGTAAATTTATCAATTCATGCGATGATGCGCTGGGTGTTGGGATGTCTCCACTCTCCATGATTGTCACAAGACGCACAAGTAACTGATAACTAGAATGCTATGTCTCTCAAGGTTTCTTTCACTACACTGAGAGAAGAACAAAGTCTTGTTTGGGCCAACAAAATCGTTGGTTGAAAATTATCAAAAAATAGTTGTTTGATTCGAATTTGAAAGTCGCAAACATGAATAATTGCTCTGCTGCTTGAGACGGTGGCTTTTCAGGATAAAAATATGTTTTATAGAGGGAAGTTTATCAAAGAATATTTTGTCCCCAAGTTACAAGATTGCTGCCATATAATTATTATTATTTCATTTAAGAATTCGTTTTTCGTCTGTGATTATTGAATAGCTGAAACGACAAATTACTATCCCTCGTGTTATATAAAACGAGCATTTGCCAGGAGCGAAATACGTCTGGGAGCATCGAATAAAGAAGAAGTGCTAGAAATTACAATCCTTGCTTGCACAAAGAATAATTTTTTTTGAAAAGACTAAATCTATTCTTGCAATAAAAATGTTCAATCTCGGCGCACGCTTCGCACGTTTGGCACAAAAAATCCTTTTTTAATCATTTTTAACAAGCGATTTTTTGGCGCAAGTAAGACTTGATTGTAAGCTCTTCTGTTTTTCTCTCATCGCATCTTATACTGAATTGTATACACGGACAGAAATGTTCAGTAAAAATTACGGAACTCACAATTCGCTCACCGATTACGGAATCGACTCAGAAAATTTAAATGACAGTATCGTAATTTTTTACAGGAAATTCAGATAAAAATTACGGAACAGTTCCGTAAAATTTTCTACAACCACATTTCGCTCCGAAATTACGGACAAGATACGTAATTGTCATTGAACATTTCTCTCCGCGTATATAAATTTGTTCTGCATATACTAATTTAGTATCATGATTGAACCCTCAAGTCTTTAATAAATAAAATAACGAATGACAAACCTCCAGAGGCGCCTGTCCAGCCTTTCGTGGGTCTATCGTGAAGTGAGTGGGCTTATCGCGGTGAACACCTTCAGGTTGAATCCCTGGGCCGGAAACCTCGACTTTATCAGGATGAAAGTCACTCGCAGGAACAATGTTTGCGATGTACGGAGACTTGGGAATGTCCTCGTTGTCGCAGAGGATGTGCACTGCGTATGGCCCTGGGGCTGTTGGCAGATAGGTGACATCAGCAGTTCCATCTCCATTGTCTTGGCACTCGATTTTCGCTTTGGACGGGCCCTCGATGGAGAATCCCAGAGCTCCAGTCTCGCCATTGGTGTCCACAGTGAATTTCGCTGGGTGATTGACAATTCCCCCGTGCAATCCTGGCCCGAATACTCGGATTGAGGATTCTTTGTAGGGACCGACGTTCACCTCGAATGGTGACTTGGGGATCTCCTTTCCACCGTAAGTTATCATCACCACGTGGCGCCCATCCTTCACTGGGACGTAGTGGCACTTGTACGTGTTGTCGTCGACCTTGTTTATGGTGACGGGGAGGCTCACACCACCTGGACCGATGCAGCGAGCGTCAACCACTCCTTCTCCAGCGTCGTTGGTGGTAATCGTGAAGTCTGCGATGTCTTTCACACGAACACCGGTGGAGAGCAGACCTCGACCGTAAGCACGACACTTCTTGGCGTCTGATACTGGGGCGACGTTGACTCCCATTGGACTCTTTGGGATCAGTTTACCAGCGAAGAATACGTTTACTGAGTGGAGACCTGTCACTGGGGAACAGTACTCACAGCGCCAGACGTCTGGGGATGTTTGACGCAGTTTTACGGGAACTGTAGTCTTCGAGCTCTGCAGGAACAAATTGTGAAGATCATTAAAGTTTCATGAGTGGAAATTATTTCTAAAAATCGGCGATGATTGGGGGTACATCGGTTAGAGGTTGAAGAGGGGGTGACCCGTTATGAACTACACGCTTTTTCTACTTTAAAAATATTTCCTTTTTTGTATATTAGAACGATAAAACTCAAATTCAGTAGCGAAACAGTAAAATGAGTTAAGTCGACTCAACTCTCAGCGGAGTTTCCTCCGAATCTAATGGAGATAACGAAATTTTTGTGAAAATATTTTTTTGTAAAGGGAATTGAGGGCTACAAAAAAGATTCTGACAAAAATTTTACTGTCTGCATTAGGTTCCGAGATATTCATTGGAAACTAACTAATGGTGAAAATCGATTCAGACCGTTTTACCGCTTCGCTACTGAATTATGCAACTTCCATCCAAATAATTGAACAACTCCTGAGATGATTTTATTTAAACATATCGATTACAAAAAAAAGTTGAAATTTGAATTGATATTTAAAAAATTGGGATGTCGGAATAAGAATTGGGGTGTTGCCTGAAATTTTGTTGACTGTAAATGAAAATAGAAATAACGAGCAGAATCGAATTACAGACTATAAACAAGTTTTGCATTGTGTGAACTATTATGACACCATCGAGCAACTTTTCATAATTACAATTAACTGTAGCTTCTTCGATGTAAATAAGCAAGAGTTGAAAATGGATTCTCAATAAACGTCTCAGAATTTCAACGGAGATAGGAACATTTTGATAGACTTTTCTTACATTTCTTTCGCCCTCGAAAAAGTGTCTGATTTCTTTGAGTTCGAGTTTTCTGTAAAAAATGAAAATTCATTTTTTTCCTACCTGAGGATCGAGAATGATGACTTCAGGAACTCCCCTTCCAGCATCCTTGGTAAATATATCGAAATAAGTTGGACGATTGACGACGACACCTTGGGGTTGCAATCCAGGTCCACTAGCAGTGACTTTGCCAGGATCGCCAGGTTGACCCTCGACCAGAACAGGATACGGACTCTTTGGAATTTCTCGACCTCCATAAAGTATTTTCACCTTGTGAGGGCCCTCGGCTTTCGGTGTGTACGAAACAGAGTAGGTGAGATTTCTGTCATTGTTGAAGCGAATGTCAACAGGCAATTTTTGACCCTTGGGATCATCAACTGTCACCTGAACATCGCCTTTTCCTGCTGAGAAAGTCTCAACGGTGAAATTTGCTGGAGCACCGACAATCGGGCCCTTCGGTTCGATTCCAGGACCATAGGCACGTACTCTGTCAAAGAAGACCATTTCAATGAGATTAAAGGGGTTTTCAAGGGGTCAACAAACCAAAGACAACGACTGCCTCGTTGTACACACGTTTTAACAAGCGTTAGGCCATAATTCAATGTTACAGCACGCCTGCAAACCAGCGAACCGCAAATAATTACCAAAATAATTGATTTTAATATCCATTGATGGACTGTTTTTTGTTTAATCGTCCAGAGTTCCCAAATTAGGTAAAAAAATTGAACAAAGTGGAAAATAATATCGACGTGTTAGGGTTCAAACTCTGATTAGAATTTAAGAGTGTGTATCGTTTTCTTCTCCCCCTGTTGTCTGTGTGATTGACATTATGCGATTGGTATTAATGCGCAAATCCTTGTGAATTAAATGAAATTAATTTATAATATTATTGGAGAAAACAACTGTGCTTCCCGACTTACCGGGGCGGAGGCACGCTGCGACCGAAAAATGAAATAAACTCATTACTTATTCATCAAAATTTCGATTCATCAAGTTTCAGAATTTTCATTATCGAATTTGAATTGAACGAAAGACAGCAGCATAACATTTTTAATTACCTGTTTGGATTGGTGCGTGGTCTGATTGGAGCACCAGGCTTCAATTTAGCGTGTGGATATTGAGAGAGATATGTCATCATGGACAATTCGTCTACGTTTGGATTGACCATTTCTTCAGGGCTAATGAGCTAAAAATATCAATCGAACGTTGAATTCAAATGAGATGAAAAGTGAGAAGAATATGATGAAAAACGGAATGGAGAAGAGAATAGAGGCATGAAAAAATGTTGTGATTCGTCATATGACCGTCACGGCGAATGCAAATAGGATAATTCTCATCGCATGACGAAGTTATGACGGCATTACCGTATGTACCGACACATTGCAATTAAATAGATGGTCTGCTACGGAATTTTTGCTGACCAATTACAGACTAACCGCCATAGTCCATCTGAATAATTGGTAACTCCCGATTTTCACACTTTGGTGAATTTTCCTGATTTTTTTGACCCTTTTGAATATTCTAAATACTCTCCCGCTCGGTATTTTATGACATATTTCGCGACATGAAATCTACGTTACCGTCCTAGTCCATCTAAAGCGTGAGCTTCACTTTACGCACTCGAAATTCACTTTACGCACGCTGAGCCGTTTCGAAAAAAGCACTTTTGAGGCACGTATTACAAAAAAGTTGTTTTAGGCCGGCTGTCAAATAAAAAATATTTTTTAAAATGTTTAAAAAAATGATAAATAAAGAAAAGTGATGAATATTACTCGCCGAAGGCGAGTGCTACCCTCCCAAGGGTCAAAGAACACTTTTCCCACAATTGTTGAACTCTATTCTTCATCACAATGTGCGGAGCGTGTGTAAAATGTCGAATTTATTAAGTGATGAAATAGTTATAATGTGAAATAGTAAATTACGAGTTCTATTCGTGTATAAATTCATGAGTTTGTTTTAAATTTCATGCGACGAAGAGAATGATGCCTCACATAATGCGGTAATTTTCCCACTATTCTCATAATTTTGCGCGTATATTCTGATTCCTATTGAATGTCAGGGTTGCCAGATTTTGGCGATTTATAGCCAAAACCTGTACAATTTTAAATGGGGTGACGTCACGATCTGGTAACACTGTTGAATGTTCAAATAATTAACCCTAATCTCGTCACCAAACGCAACCCTGCGACTTGGTCACCTCTGCGGGGATTCCCCGCCGTGTTATTTAAGCTTTAGCGTTACCGAATGCACTCTACACTGTCCGGGCGCGTTTAGCGAGTTTCCGGCAACGTTGCGTCATGGACGATTTCATTTAACATTGGGAAGAAATAATTTGTTTCTCTTGTAACTAAATAATTTGTTTGTGTTCCGCAGGGAAAACGACAGGATTTTCCTGCCGAAGCGCTCCGCTTGTGGATTTCTCAGACGAAAATCCTACGATCCCAAGCCTCTTACCGTTTCCTTTTTTTTCGTGTACTAAAATTGAGCAAAAAAAAATACTTGAATCAAATCGCGAGCTACTTGAACCAATAAATTTGTTGATTGGGTGCAAAATTTTAGGATACTTGTTCAATTTTATGACATTTTTTTAGGACAGAAATTTAATGTGCCCGACATATATCATGTAAATAGCAGTAGTAGTAGTTTCCGGATAAGTACTGGTTCCCAGATAGTCCCTCCCCATTTCAATACCATACGACCGATAACTGGGGCTCTGAAGTTACCCGTCGAAGGATAGAATATCCGAAACCTCATACATCTGTTTTTCAGATTAATTAATCGTAAGGTTATTGAAATAATCGAAAATTAAGGTAAAAATTCATTTGATAGGATTACCCTGAAAATTTTTTATGACAAAAGTTTTCCTCCAAGGCCTATCCTTAAGTGTCCGAAAACTAGTACACCCCGCAACCAAAATTGCGACCAAAAAATATCACGTACAATAACCGTCATATAACTATCACAAATTTATCCTGCGCCAAAAAACGGTTGTATTCACGACTTAAAGAGTGAACAATACCTGAGGAATATTGAGCCAGTCATCAGCCAGTCCCATAGCTTCAGCGGCATTTTGGGCAGCATCCTTGGGATCCCAGTTCTGCCAATCTGGGCAGAGACCAGGGGCAACAGCATCGACCAGTGCACCCACGGCTTTTCCATCGTTCCAATCTGACGTGAAGTTATTAATCGGCACTTCCGGCAATTTCGATTTTATCCAGTTCATTAGTCTCTGCTTCGGTGTTGCACCTTTCTCCGTGTCGTCTCCATCATCACCATCCCACATTGGCATGGAGATTGAGTAATGGAGAATGAGGGTCCATATTAAACCGAGGATGAGCTTCAATTTGCAATCAACGATGTCCGATGAATCTGCATCAACGAGCAAATTTTCATTGTTGAACAACTATTCAACAACAGAAGTGTTTATTCTGTGATCTCTCTATATTATAAACATCCAAATCGACTTCGGGTGATGAAAATTTGGTACTCGAGATTAAGATTCCAAAATTAAAGGTCACAAGGGTCAAAATAAGGATCATAAGGGCCGCAATAAGGGTTATAAGGGTCACGTGGGTCAAATTAAGGGTCACGGGTGTCAAATTAACCGTCGCAAAGGTCAGATCAAGGGTCATGAAGGTCAGAATAAGGGTCACGAGGGTCAGAAAACGGACTACGAGTGTCACGCTAAGGGTCACAAGGGCCAGGTTAAGGGCCATGAGTTTTAGAATACGAGTCATGAGGGTCAGATTAAGAGTCACAAGGGTGAGATTGAGGGTCACAAGGGTAAGAATAAATGTCCAAATAAGGGTCACAAGGGTCACATTAAGGGTCCAAATAAGGATCATGGGGAAATCTGCCGGCCACAACGGTCATAATACGAGTCTCTATATCTCTCTATATTATAAAAATGAAAATCGATTTCTGGTGATAAAAATTTGGTACTCGAAATTAAGAATTCAAAATTAAGGGTCAGAAATGAAGGGTCAAAATAAGGGCCACGAGGAGTATAATGAGGGCCAGATTAAGTTCATATGGGGATCATATCTGGGTCATATGGGGGTTGCGCGAGCAGGGGGCGTAGCCCCCTAGTTAATTTACTCAATGATTCAATAATTGACTTTTGAAAAATCATTATGGTTTATTTTGGTTTCCCTTGTTCATCTTCTTCGTTCATATTTACGAAGATAACGCATGGAATTCAACTGTAAACGTAAATGCAAAGTAAACAGAGGTCAAGAGGCCTTCTCGCTTTCATCACAGACATCTCATTCATTCCGTTCAATGGTTTATTGACACTTCTCAAAAGCAAGAGAGAAACAGTCATTCCAAGTGCTACAATAATAGTCTCCCAGTGACTTAAAACTAAAAACGACAACGCCCTCGGTTTTTCGGCTGCAACATGACACGTACGTGGGTGGAATTTTGCGGACTCATAGATGAGGCGTGAGACTGCCATTGTTAAAATAGAATGTGCTCATTCCTACGTCACAGTTTCACCTATGAATCACGATTCTAATATCCAACGGCCGATTGAATATTCAGTGTCAGGGAACTCACCGAGGCTCAGTGACTAAGTGCAGCCCACTGCACATGCAGAAATTGTTCATCTAGTCATAGCGAATTGAAAAGTGTGTGGGGGAAGTTTCAACACCTTTTTTCTACTTAATTCTATATTTCAGGGTGACAGACTAGTGTGTGAATCGCGTTTCTCATGTGACACAAAGATGTTTTTCTTTGCCAGTGGCCTCGGTGAGACGACAAAAGATCAGAGGAGACTGATAGCTAGGAAGCTTAGCATTTACGAGAAATTTCGAGAAGAAATTTTAATATACACTTGCAGGGATACGTCCATGAATTATAATTACCGTTAAACTATTAAATAGTTAATTAGTTAATATCACTCTTAAATTTTAATTAGTGAAGTAATCATCGGAAATCCCTTATAAGCAATTTAGTATTATTTACTTAATAGAAAATTTACAGATCCATATTATTAAATATTTAATTCACCATCAATTGTAAATTTAGATTATCAATTGGTTTCGTATTTTTGCTTCCGAATGGACGCATTGTGATCGTTCAAATTTAAGTTTTGGATTTTTTGTGTTATATCGAGACACTATGATCCAAAAAGTCCGACAATGCAATTTTTAGATCTGCCCGTACGTGTGTGTGTGGTCAAGTTTTTCTCCAATTGTTCCCTAATGAATGGATGGAATTGAATCTTTTTGTCAAATTGTAGGTATTGCTGAGCCCTACCGATTGACATTAATTAAAATTTAATTCATCGATTGGTTTTTTTTAATTTTCGAATTTTTTCGAAAATCAGTTGTCTTACAATAACTAAAAAAATGTTCTGAATTGATTGAATGACGGCGTAAAAAATATGTTTGGATATCCCATTGACCGAGTTCGAAGACAAAGACGATAGCAATAATGGTTATTTTGATTTATTCGAAAATTGGTAAAAAATTTTTTAATTAGAATTCCGGGGATATCTTTTAATATCATGCTTCAAATGAATGCAATCATAGCTTAAAATGCTTGTTTTAATGCCATTAAGTCGAAGTTAAAAGATGATTATGAAGCTATATTGGTTTATTTGATTTTGATGATGATTGACCTTTCGAATTTTTCAGGAATTTTTTTGAAAGTGAACTTTCTGATGGTTTCTTTAAATGTGATATTTCAAATTGATCCAAGTATGTGTAAATAACATTTTTCTATTAACTTTTTATCGAAGGGCTGAGGGAAGCGATAGAGCTGTAAAAAAGACATTCGGTTGTATCGACGAAAAGGGATAATAAGAATAATGATGATGGTAACACTCAACGAAGTTGAAAATCTGACAAAATTAGGTAAAAAGAAATCATGTTCAATTTAATAAAATGAAATAAGTAATAAATTATGCATGATAGAAGGTGCTCTCTCGGCCCTTCGATAAAATATTAATAGAAAAATTTTATTTACATATGCTTGGATGAATTTGAAACATCACATTTGAACAAACCATTGGAAAGCTCATTTTCAGAGAAATTAATGAAAAATTCGAAATTTCAATTATCATCAAAATCAAATCAACCCATATAGCTATCGTAATCATCTTTTGACTTCCACTTAATGGCATCAAAACGAACATTTGAAACTATGATGGAATTGATTTGAAGCATAATTTTCAAAGATATCCCCGGAATTCTGATTTTAAAAAAATACCAAATTTAACAAAATTTTCAAATATATCAAATAACGATAACTGCGATCGCCTCCATCTTCGAATCGGTCAAAACGACATCCAAATAAATTTTTCAAGCCATCATTCAATCAATTCAGAACATTTTTTTTAGTTATCGTGGAACAACCGATTTTCGAAAAAATGCGAAAATTGAAGAAGCTAATCGATGAATTAAATGTTAATTAACGGCGATAGATAGGGCTGAACAATACCTACATTTGAAAAAAAAATCAATTCCATTTATTCATTAGCGAACAATTGAGGAAAAACTGTGTACGGACGGAGTCTAAAAATTGCATTTTCGAACTTTTTGGATCATACTGGGTCGATATAACACAAAAAATCCAAAATTTAAATTTGAACGATTACGAAGGTTCCATTCGGAAGCAAAAATATACTGACGCACACAGAGAAAAAAAAGTTTTGATTTTCCGGGACATATCACTAATTTTCAGGAATACGCGATTCTGAAATTCAGTGATTTTGTCACCAATTTTCAGGTGGTATCCTATCTCTAATTTTTAGGAATCAATCACCAATAATTGCGGATAGGTTCCTGAAAATCAGTGACACGTCCCTGAAAACCAAAAGTTTACTTTCTGATGTAAATGTTATGATTACGGAGATATCATTCTTTTGCATTACTAAAACATCGACTGTAACTTTTCCTTGACAAATATCTCTTCATTAACACTTGGCTATTTTTCCCCTTTCTCAATATTCCAATGGATCCCGAATGCGACTTGGCGAAATTTACGGTTTCTATTTTGAAATTTCTGAGATTGAAAAAAAATTCACACTGTTTCATCAAATTTCTCCTGAAATTCCTGAAACTTTCAGGATAATTTCTTAATGAAGTGTCAATTTTATTTGTAGACTACATTTCATGAGCTATACTCCTCTGTTAAGCCACATCAATCGGTCGCAAAAACCTACGAGTCTTGTAATAAGAAAACGAAAAACACGAAAAGTCTGGCACTGGGATAATTAGATGCACGACACGTCTGAACCCACATTCCGATTATCAAGTGACTTATTCTCGAGAGAATTTGATAACCAATAAGCCCCGATATGCCGGTATCTACCGACTCGTTTCATCAATTCCATTCCTACTCATTTGACATGTAAACAATTGAAGCATTCGGCTGGCACCGAAAAATTGCTCCCCTCGGAGCAAAACTGAGCCGATTCATTCCTTCTATTTTAAGCAATTACCCAAGACTGACGTCACACAACAACTCTCGAAGATCGAGTAACTGACACGTTCCACGCTTAGTTTATTCTTTTATTCCTCGTTTTTCATAAGATTTGAGTCATCATTCAAGCGGATTCACGTCTGTGTAAATTCTTTCTCGAGGGTCATCCTCTTGAGACTCGCCGAGCTGATGTTCAATGGGATTATTATATCGATCAATAGCTTGTTTCAACGGTGATGATTTAGGAGGCAGGGAGAGGCTTGCAAGTGTTCTTCAAATATTTGATTGATGTTGAAGGAGAAAAATCGGTGTGGCAAGTTCCCCCGGGTTTTAAGGGGTTTCAGCTTCTCGCCAGGTCATAAATTTTCACGGCATTAAAAATGTCCTCAGATTGCTGAAGTCATCAGAAATGAAAAATCAATAGAAAACGAATTCCACTGAATTTTTTATCCGTCTCCGATTCATAAGCGAAGAGTAATTGAGATTGACGATTAATCCAAACAAGTGCAAGACCTCATTATCTACCCCTCAATAAATAATAAATGTTCCTTTGCCTGAGGCATCATCGCATCATACTTCAGTAGTCTATAAAATGTACACACCAGATATTCCCGTTGCTGTATGTACCAAGGTTGTATTTTAATTGAAATGAATAATAACTAAAATTGACAATAAAACCTATCGAGCCAGTTGGAGAGACACACATCATCAAATGAGCCCTGGGGATTGAATTAATGTGAGACAATTGAAATTACCATGCTCAACTCACGAATCAGTCAAATAAAAAACAAAATATGTGGGTTAAATTGGGCGTGACGTTCTGATTTATTCCTGGGATATTAATCAGTGAGAATTGCCGTTTCTTTCCCTCGTTATGTCGGTTTCATCAATTACCCTGAATAAAGCGTGAATGAAACATTAGAGTTTATCAAAACGACAATAAAAATTGTGAGATTTAGTGTCTAGTCAAGGTCAGATGGAAGGTGAAGTTTTAAAAACTACCTGCAGCTGGGATTATGAGGGATTGGGTCATTTCTATTTTTGGACTGAGGTTTTTAATTAACTCGAAAGAAATTAAGAATTCATCCTCGCTACTGTCGTTATCCACATTTCAGAATTATGTTTCATCCGTTCGTGATGTCACACCAATGTCTTCCAGTGTGAATGGAAATTCGAATTCAATCATTCAGTTTTGCATCATTTTTCCAGTTATTGATGATACATAACGGAAGTTAGATTGTGATGTTTCATAATTCCGATTGTTCTTCCAGTTTTCTTTTTATTTCAATTTTATTTTTGTCGCTAGAAGGAGAAAGTAGACGGCACCTTCTCTCCGCTGACCAGCACAAGGTCACGTTTGGCCAAGTGCCGGCAGTTTAACGTCACCCGGTGTTTCTTTATCCCACTCGATTCTCCCGTGGCTATCACTCGAGAGAGAAACGATTAAATCTCCCACGAAATTCCATCATAATCCATTTGGAATTAATGCAACGTTAATTAGTTTTTTTTTTAATTTCAACTTGTTTTCAAGTTGTAGAGATTGTATCGCGTAGCCACCGGATATAGTTTCAAGGTGACTGTTAAACAATCGTCGGAAGTAATATTAATTGCGCCCGAATTGTATCCCCCTACGTGATGACAAATTTTAATGTATCAATTACTTTTGATTGCGAATGATTGAATACACTCTGTTAGAAATTTCTTAAAATTTCAGTCACAACGTCGTCTAAATTTTCGATGTTGTGAAGTTGAATTCAATTTCAAATGAAAGTGTTCGCTAAATTTCTCATTCATCTTGAAAATTCGAGAAAATTGGATTTTTCATGTTAAACAATCGTTGATTTTTCAATGAAAACTTGAATTTCCAAACTCGTCGTAAAAGTTGAACATCACATACAATTCAATTTTCAATAGATTGAGAATTCAGGACAGTTATTACCTGAATTTTCAAAATTTTTAAGTTTTTTCAGTACCGTATGGACCTGACAATTGAGGATTACTTGAATATTCACGAAATTAACTGATTCGGCAATGAAGGAACATACAGAAATTTCCTGTAACTTTGTCGTTGTTAAAAATTTCAGCTTTTTCGCTTGAAATTTCAAGAGTAATTTTCTAAAAGTGCATTGTTAAAAAATGTCGTCTGAATTTTCCGTGCCAAATTCCGGAAATTTTGATCGTGTTTTATTTCCACTGAAATTTCAGGAAATCTTGCTATTGAAAAATCGAATATTCCATTGATTTTCTGTTCAAATCATCTAAAAATCAATAATATACTTGATTTTTCGGTTCAATCATTCTATGAAAATTCCGAAAAATGAGGAAAATTCAGGGAAAAATGAGGAAAATTCAGGGAAAAATTGAAAATTTATGTTATTTTGTTTCTGAATATTCATGTTCTATTGAAAATTCAATCAAGTTGTGAAATTTCCAGCTCACTCCCACTTAAAACTCATGAATTTCCTTGAATTCTACCTAGAAGTAGAAATTTCATACCCGTTTTCTCCCTAAATCCGATTGAATGTTACTCCTATGAAAATTACTATCACATTATCCATGAAATTTCCAAAAATTTCCAACAGTGTATCATCGGAGGGCTTGAGTCTGAATGATAATGGAAACAGAATCCCCAAACTTGCGCACTCAATGCAGCCGGCTTCCCGGGTCATCCCGGGCCACGAGGAATCGATCCCACGCGCGGTGGCTTTTGTCCAGTACAAAAGTGAGAAAAAATACCGTTGGAATGTGCATTGAAACAGCCCCGTTAGCAGAATCAGAATTGTAAACGAAAGAATAAAACTATCAGCATCAGCAGAAACTCCACTCCTCGCAGAAGTGCTAACAACGAGTAGAAAAGAAGGAAAATAAAGATATTTGGGACTCACCAATGTTAACAATGCGTATTCCCTGGTCGTCAAGGAATTTAAGTGCAACAGCCACATTCTCCAACTTTTGCGATCTAAAATTGGGCTTTTTGTTGTGCTTTGGCAGTCGTTTTTGGGACAATACCTCCAGCAAACTCACGAGTAAAAGCCCATCGGACAGATCACCCTCCAAATCATTGATATATTTGTTAACACATTTGAGATGTTTATTTGCCCATCTTGTAAATGTATTTTGCTGTATTCTCTTCCACTGCGCATCCTCAGCAAGTTCCCGCTCAAACATTTCTTCCTCCTCCTGTGCGGAGTTCCCGTCTCTGACTGACTTATCATTCTCATTCATTTTATCGGCCTGTTTGTACGCAACAACTACACGTAAATCTTGTGGCTGACGATGGGTGATTGGTTTTTGCCGGCTATGGTGGTGGAAAAACACTTGTGTGCTCAGCCGTCAGTAGTGGTGGACAAGCAGGAGAAACAGACCTGTTGGGCCACTGGCGACTTCTTTTTTCGATGTTTTAGTTTTGCTTTTTAGTTTGTCCTTTGGGGGCTGGAGGGGGAGAGGGGGCCTCTATTCCTGTGAATTCCACTTCTCTCTGGTCTGTTTTCCTCGGTTGTCTCCGTTCAATCGTCTGTACGCGCATGCGCTGGAATTCCTGACCTCACTTGGTTGCTTTATGGTTTTTGAAATGCGGCGAGGTACAACCGGTACCTGTCAAATACGGCTGCATCCAATTTCTGACTGGAAATTATTGAAATACGATTTTTAATCTGGTGAACGACGTTGGGTTTATCGAGGAGATTTTCTCAAGGTTTAGGGGACGTGAGAGTCGGACGCTTTTTCTTAAAATCAATTTTATGTGTGGAATGTGTTGAGAGATGTTTGTCTTCTATGAAATTGCTGGTCATAAATTTTCTGTCTCCAAGTGGAAAATGCACGAATTGATCAGACGAGATGTTCGAAGGAGATTCATAATTAGTTGGAGAGATTGAAAATTATTTTTAGTTCGATTTTGTGATATTCTCAATGTGTTGATGACCGTGAACCAAATTCTCTGAATTATCGGAGGCATCGAATAATGGAGTAGTTACAGAATCCATGAATCAGTCAATACTGGATGAAAATAAATTCAGAATTTATATAATCCTTTATGCTCGATTTATCGAAGAAACTAGAATAACATATTCATCACTGTTGCTGACGAAAGTATTCTGGTTTTACGATAATACCTAGCATTTTGAATAATGCGAATACAGTGAACAAGAAAATTGTGAGAATCAAAAGATGTGGCGTTTTTGCTCGGCCACGGCTCGATGCCAAGATATTTTTAAAATGAGTTTTGAATCATTCCAACGACACTGGCACAGTGTGAAGAATCATTTTGAGAAATTCTCCCCCTCGGGCATATGCATAATGCATTATGAGCCAAAAAATTATATTAAAACAAAGCGATGGAGATTTTAAAACTGGGTTAAGGTGAAAATTTTAATGGGTGTATCAAAAATAATCATCGCTTATTGAATTAACATTTTTGTTTACCAACTTTGGTCTGTCAGTACGTCTTAGCGTTAACTGTGAGCATTGGGATTGCCTCGTTATCACCGAAACACTCGAGCTGCGATTTAAAAAGCATTGGATTTTACAACAAACCGTTAAAACTCTTCAAATAACTGAGGAAAAAAAAACAAAAATGTCATAAAAAAAATAATCTCAAACTTTCGAGCACTTTTGACGTTTGTCAGCGTTCGATTATAAATGCAAATATCAATTGAGTTACATAAAGCAAATATTGAAGAGCAATTGAAGCACTTGAGAATGAACTCCAGACAAGTAAAAAGTAACAAAATTCAATTCAGGCACTTGACTTCACGTTTTCACACCTCAATGGAAATTTCACAAATCACATCACCAATGGTATCTCCAGCTCCCTCGAGTATCCACCACTGTCGAATTAACAACCGAAATGGCGAGGAATTCAAACGGCGAGAGGATCAACTGGGAATAATAATCGATTGTAAATGAAGTGACAAAATCCGGCGTCTTAGCACTCGGGGTATTAGATTGTAGTTGACCGTTTACTTGGCCGTCGGTTGCAAAGTCAAAAGCTGGTCTGAGTGAGAAGAGAAGTTACCTCCAAGAATAGTTTCACGATACCACTCTTGTACGTTTAGGAGCCTCTGTGCGACACCCCGCACTCTCTTCCTCACACAGTTATTCTCCCCTACCCATACGTTTTTACCCCGAAAAACCTTACAGTTGTGATGGCCACACGAGAGAAGGGGAATGAGCGATTCCGGGCTATATATACACAGGGAGGGAATACGCATTATCTACAAAGTGTAAAATAAGAATCATTCGGATTTTACCGCGGTTAAAAAAAAATCGGAGAAATGTGGAGGGCGTGATGACTTTTTCGTTGAAGGAGTCACTTCTTTTTTTGAAAGGTGACTGCGACGAGGTGCGACCTATTGGCCCACTAAGGATCACTCATGAAACTCGTGTATTACCTTCAGAAGCAAGTTTGAAATAACAAACCGTATATGGATGTACTTGGGTAAATGGACAGCTACATGGGAGGCTGAATTACTCGAGTCTTTTACCTCTGAATGGATTCACCGAGTCACCGGGCCATAATCGGTTGAACAGAAATGGATTATCTGATTTTTTCAGTTCTATATTTCCAGCGTTCTTCTCAGGAATGACCATCAATCTCTCGATTCTTCAATGTTAAAAGCATGTTCGAGTTACATTGATCAAGGTTTAAATATACTAATCAAAATTTTAAAATAGTAAAATAAATATTTAAAAATATGAAACTATGAATTTCCTATTAAATAGCTGCTACTAAATTTTTTATAAGGGATTTCCGATTATCCAAGTAATCATCAATCTTCCTAACTCAATTACTGATTAATGAGTAATTCAAAATTTGACCATTTAAATTGATGATTACTTCAATAATTAAAATTGAAAGTGATATTAACTACTAGTTAATAATTTAACAGTAATTATAATTTATGGATATGGCTATCCCTGGTTCTTTTATTATTATGAGACCATGAACATAATTTTTCTTTGGAAACCCATATTCCAATTGTTTGCAACTTCTGATTCTGGTGTTATTTTTTCTTCAATGAGAATCGACTAGTTTAATTTTTTTTCTCGACATTTTTCAATTAGTAAATGTAGTACTTTTATCTTTCGAAGAATTTTGAGTTTGGAAATGTAGAGCATAGTGAGTTCTTCAAGTCTATATATTCTGTTTTCCTGAGGTGATAATACGTTTCGTACCAAAATGTAAACAATTACGAAATAGTTGGAGTCGAGTCGTGATATTTATGCCCCACTACCTGCTCAAGTTTATTGGATCTAGGTGAGGCCGTAGATCCTTCGATCGATCGACGATGGCTGCCATTCGAGTACTCCATGACCGGAATTTCCTAATGGGTACTCAAAGTACTTGTGACGTTAGTTTTAAAGGAATTATTCTCTACTCTGTTTTTTATAATGAAAATGTATTTCTTGTGTTCGTAAACCTAGAGTATAACAAATAACAAATTGTGTTGGAGATTTTGAAATTTCCACTGGAATATCTCCTTTCCCTGGTGTAAAATGAGTTCAATTGTGTTTGGTAATGACCTGTTGTCTTTTGTTCAATTGGGCTCTTTTTGGAATTCTAATTATGATTTCATCGCAGCTACGACTTTCTTCGCTGCTACGTCCAGATCGTTCTCCATCGTGAACGGTAGTTTCGACTCCTGGAGGATCTGTCGAGCCTCCTCCATATTTGTTCCTTGCAGCCTGACGACCACTGGCTTCTTTATTCCTAATGTTTTTGCTGCTGCAACTATTCCCTTGGCGATTGTCGCGCAGTTGACAATTCCACCGAAGATGTTGACGAATATTGCCTTCGCTTTTGGATCTGGATTGATGAATAAATTGTTTTAGTCAGGATTACATTTCTAATAGGCTATATTTTTTTTAATCATTTTAATTTTTCTCTATTTTGATTTCTTTCATTTTTGCAAATTTTGATATTCTAAAATATTCTAAAATTGCAGTAAAAATCTCTGCATTTCAGAACTTTCGTATCACGTCATAAAAATTCTTAAAACTAGTACTCCTTGCATTGAAAGGAGATTTCGGTTATTTATGGCCTATGTATCAGGCATTAACGGATATCTGTCAGCACGCCTAAGAAATTGTCGAAAAAATATAAAACAGGTTACGTAACGTTCGAGAAGTGATACACTCAGGTCTTGATGAATGAATCTTATCGTTTGATGAATGATAAAAGCTTTGGGGAAATTCAATTACCTTCTGCGACAATTCTAAATGCCTGGAAAACTTGATCTTGGGTTACACCACCGCCAACATCGAGAAAATTGGCTGGGTCTCCACCGTTCATTTTTATTATATCCATCGTTGCCATTGCCAATCCCGCACCATTTACTGTAATTATAGATAGGTAGTCATGGAGTAAATTAATTTTGAACAATATTTTTTACATAATTCAGTACTCCAGAATGAAAACAAGTGGACAAGGAAAATGTGAAACATACATTAAATTAACTCTTGATAATTTCCCCTAAAATCATTTATTATTGATATTACACAGTAGTTAAAGAGGGAAAAAACTTTAGTAAAATGTGAAAAGACGATTAATTAGGCAGTTAGTTCAATAACTAGTGATTTAGGAATCAAACTTCAAAAGCGTTCTTCTAAAGTAAGAACTACTAAAATAGAAAATGTTTCAGTAAATCAACCAAAAAAAATTAGAAAATTTGAGCCGAGGAAATTGAATGGAAAATATTTCAATTGAATAAGTTATTTAGAAAAATATAATTCTAATGGATGAAAGAAAGTCAATTGGTCGGGAAATTATTGGTTCGGTAATGGGTCACCCCCTTTCCAAACCACTCGCAATGGGAGCGAGCGACCAAGAAATCATTCGAATTTGTTTTTTTTCATCGTCTTGAGATTTGTAACAGTGCTGTTATTGTTTTTTTTAAAAAGCCCGCTCTGATGGCTTTTTACCTGGAGTCCTATCAATAAAAAAGAAGAAGATATAACTTGTTTTCGAGATATTTCTTCCGAGCGTATCACAATTACTCCATAGAGCCCAAGACAAACGCATATCTCCTTGAGATTGAGGCAAAATTTGCAGAGTTTAACAATAATAATGAACATGGCAGCACCATTTTGTTCTACTGAGGAGGTTGATAATCTAGCCAAGAATGCGTCACAATATAATGACACTGATTACCAAGTACCATACCCAGATCTTAGGGCCAATTATAAATACAGAAAACAACAAAAAACGATACGAGAAATAAAATACCAGGCTGAGGTAAAACTAAACGGGGTGGAATTCATCGAAAAATTCTAGAGCCTTTCAAGCCATGGTTTAAGGGTACAAAACACCCAAGAGCCTTGATTACATGGGTCAACCGAGTCAGGGTTAACCATTATCACTTGAAGGCCTCTCCAAAACGAATACACGTAATTGAAGATCTGAAACGTGCTTGTGGAGACGAAAGTCAAGACGTCGACCACATTATATGGCACTGACCTTCAGCAAAGAAAGGACAATACTTATTAGAGATTTGAAACAATTTAAAGTTCCTCTTACAAACTCCATCAGCCCCTTATTAAAAACAACAGATCCAAAAATCCTTAAAATACTACACAAAGTTATCATAAGTAGAAGATTAAATATTTAAAATCAAAGATTGTAAGAAGTGTAAATATTTAGATTAAGTTAATAGAACATTACTGACAGTGTAAATAAATCCTGTAGATTTAAGCAGTTCAAACAATAAAAAAAATTACTCCATAGAAACTTACCTAGACATCCAATATTTCCATCCATACTGATATAATTAAGATTGAACTTTGAGGCTTCAACTTCCCTCGGGTCCTTCTCATTGGTGTCTTCCAGCTCAAAAATATCCTTCTGCCTGAACTGCGCATTGTCGTCGAAAGAAATTTTCGCATCAACAGCGACGACCTGCTTGTCCGCTGTTTCAACGAACGGATTGATCTCGATCTGCAGAGCGTCAATGTCTACGAACAATTTCCACAAGTTCTTCAATTCGTAGATCGCCTTTGTGTTGACCTCTTCCTCAGCGAACCCTAAAAATTCTGCAACTTCCTTCGCGATATTGTCGTCTATACCGTAGTAAATGTCCAGGGGAACGGTTTTGATGAGCTCGGGGTTTTTTTCAGCCACTGTTTCTATGTCCATTCCACCAGCTGGGGATGCTATCAGGACAGGCCCATTGCTGCCCCTGTCCATGAGGATGCAAACGTATGTCTCGCGTTTTATGTCCACCGACTCTGCAATCATGACTTTGTGGACTAAGATACCATCCTTGTCGGTTTGCTTGGTGATCAGACGGTGACCCAACATGTGCTTCACGATCTCTCTCACTTTCTGTGGACTGTTAGAAAATTTCAGAAAAATTATTGAGGGCTCAAATCAAAATTATCGCATTAAGAATGAATTTTGATATTGAGGCCCGTGTCTTTCGAACGCTATCTTCATTGTTTTTTTTCATATTTTTACAATATAAAATAATTTTAAAGTGCCATTTGCTTCTACATAACGCAGAAATCTCCGAGAATTATGAGTCTATAATAAAGAAACACTCGCAAAAATACTGAACATTTTCGATGAGCACATTATTAATATTGGCAAGCAAATGTAATTTATCGCAGCAAATGACTGTCAGATCGTCATTTGCCACGATAAATTAGGGGAGGATCGCGCAAAATGGGATGTATTGAGATCTTTTCCAATTGTCAATATCTTCATTTATAAGTGAAGATATTGACAACTAGAGAACATCACGAAACGTCCCATTTTGCCCGACTTTTCCCTACTTGGATATCCTTAACTAAGGATTTTCTTAACTGAGCTTGGTGCGACCGGACCTAACTCATTTTTCCATTATTGGATTTATGGGTAGGACTGAATTAGTAACTCTGTGAATTTAATTTGACTGCGACTCTTTATTCAGTCGCACGTAGAAGACGCGTCTCGATCTATACTCTAACTCCGGTTGTCGGAGTCTAACTTCAGAAAAATAAGGACCAGTACATTGGACGACTTGGAACGCATTTTCTCTTTGTCCTTTGTTCTATCCTTTGTTCATAGTTGGGTAAACAGGTCAATTTCTGGACGATTTCAACTTGCATTGAATATTCCACAAATAAAATGAAAATTGTATTGATTATTTCACCTCTCCATAATTAATTATCCCTTGTGTATAATCATGTGATCAATTATTTTCTTCTATTGATCAACATTTAATGAATAAAAAAAAATATGACCCAGGCGTCCGGAAATTGGGGTTTCAGCTACATTCAACTATTTCTCAATTTAATTATTCTTTGTTTTGTTATTTTCACTTTAAACTATTTTTTTCTGCTAATTAAAACATTCTTGAAGGTATGCAAGCCATCATATCCCCATTTAGGTGATTCTTTTATTTTAGATCCTACCACAAAACTCGAATTTCCTTGAACCGTCCAGGAATTGGCCTGATCACCCTATTCGTAGTCACCCGCCATGTGGTCGCCACGTAATATAAACACAGTTTTAAGAACCTCAGTCTGAAGAATTTTATGTGGTGAAACTGAAATGTGTCGAGCTGTGTAGAGATTGATTTTTGAATACTATTTCGTTCCATGAAATCCAATATCCATTTTATTTTATTCAGGATTTTATGTTCAATGAAGAAATTATAGGGGAGGGTGGGGTAAAATTGACACTTTTGACTTTTTTAAAAATGTTCATCACGTGTTGAATTGCTCATGAAATGTACTAATTTTATTTTCCAATAGAAAGAACAATGATTCCTCTTTGTGATGAGCACACACTAAGCTCAATTGATAAATATGTTTCTGAGTTATGAATAATAAAAAAAAAATCAAAAGTGTCCATTTTACCCCATCCTCCTCTAATGAAAACGAAGAATGGATTGGTTCCACTCACTCTTTAGTCAGATGCACACCCCCTTTGAACCCATTATCAAACCATCCTTTTCCTCGGCCTCCAGCGAGTACTTGAGCCTTGATCACGTATTCATCAACCCCTAGAACGAAAAGAGAATAAATCACGTAAACACCAGGACAGAAAAATTGAAAAAATGTTTTTCCAGAAAGAAATACATACGGAATTTATCCAAAGCAGTGTCTGCCTTCTTTACGTCGTCAACAATCGTGAAATTCTGCACAGACACCCCGCTGTCTTTCAAAAGCTCCTTGCTCTGATATTCCAACAAATTTAAATGCCGAACAGACAAAACACCAGCCCGCGAGTATTTGCTCAAAGACCCCACGTAGTTAAGGAATTTTGTTGTTAGAAAAGCCGACATTCTTAACCTGATTGACCAATTTCAAAAGCACAAATTGTCGGATTTCTCGTGTCGCGATTTTGCAGGCTTTACGTCGTGCGGTTGATAAAGTTCAGATTCCTCCCCGAGAAACGTCGATTTACTTATCTCTGTTTTTTTTTCTTTACGAAATAATTATCAACCGGTTCACATGGGTCCAATGTGTAAATCCACATGGAGAACAAAACTTTCGCGGAGAATTGTCTTGTGTCGCCATCTTTGTATTGACTATGCAACGATTATAGTACTTGAGACTACATGGGGGCTTCCCCGCCTCTGCGTTAGTGATCAATTTGAAAATGTGCTGATGGCTCTAAAGATGGTTTTGAAGCAGGGAAGGCCCCTAGACCCCACTGGATAATATTATCACAACTCTGCTTTTCAATTGAAAACAGACATCATCTTTAGAGACATTTGTCATGTTTAGAGGGCCTAGCACGCCATTTCTTGACCCGCTCTTTCATTTGAACCCAAAACAACATTCATATGTTGTCTGACATCGCTGCTATAAACTCGGGTCTACAACTCGGGCTTTCAATTGAAGGCCCGAGTTGAAGACCCGAGTTTGTAGCAGAGATGTCAGACAAGATATGAATGTTTTTTTCGGCTCAAATGAAAGAGCGGGTCGAGAAATGACGTGCTAGGGCCTCTAAAGATGGTTTTGAACCAGGGTAGACTCCTAGACCCCACTGGACAAAAATAAAATAAAATAAAATAGTTCACTGCAGAGACAATTCCATTGACTTTCCAAATATCTTTTCCAAATGTCAATATGTCTCCTAGAATTCGAGAAAATAATTTTTTGCATGCATTGCCTGCAGAGTTCATGCGTTCCTTTCTGCTTCGGCAGTGAGTTCTTTCTATTTTCTTATATTCTGTCAACGGTTTGCAACCCCCTACACATTTTCCCAACAATCTAACTGAAAATTGTCAGATATATTCCAGCCTGGCCCAAGATTTTTTCAATGACAAACATTCTTCGCATAGAATTCGACGACAGAAAGGAAAAGTATCATAAATTTCATAATTCACTTTAATTTTTTTATTCTATAATGAGTGATCGATACATTGAGTTTTCAAGTGCCTGAAACGAAAATTATCTATTGAAATTTGGATTCTTCTCCTGGGATTACGCGACATTATCGCCTGGGTTGGACTCAACATACTGTTGGTCATGGGGAACCTGTTGATTCTCGAGGTAATCATTGTTTCCATAATGCTCATATTGTTGATTGCCGTCATAAAGACCCTCTTCAGTCTGCCCGTGGGTCCCCTCGGCAGACTGTTGATACGACGATGGCTCGTACTGCTCGTACTGACTGTAATCCTGGGTGGAGTAGTCTGCAGGGTAATTTTCGTAGTTCTGCGGGTCCTGGTACTGTGCCTGATCCATCTCGTCAGGTTTTTGTTGGGGGTTCGTGTAGCTATGCGCGTAAGTATCATCAGACGTTGCTGAGTAAGGATGAGTAGGGTCTTGGGGGTGGGTTTCTTCGGTTGCGGGCTTGTGGGATTGTTTACTGGGGTCTGCACCTGATTCGGGGGTTGACGATAGTTTTCCTACAAATGAAATTTTTTGTAGAGAAATATCTTTGTGATGAATGTGCGTCTTAAGGACGTACAACACCCTTTCGGCCAAAATTCACGTTTTCATAATTTTTCTGGCAAATTATTGATCTGATTGACGCGAAATAATATACCGTTTTTGAGTTCTATTATTATTGACTGACTGAAGAAATTTCATGATAGTGCAATCATTTTCCTGCATTTTTTCTAAAGTTTGTGAATTTCCGAAAAGTTTTAGAAAAAACGCAGGAAAATGATTGCACGATTATGAAATTTCGTAAACCATTAAGTAATGATAAAACGTAAAAACGGTAATTTTTTCATGTCAATCTGATCAACAATTTACCAGAAAAATTAAAAAAATGTGAATTTTTGCGAAAAGGGTGTAATACCTCCTTAAAGTCGCCGATAAATAATGTGAGTTTTGGAAACTAGGTTTGATGCCCATCCCCACTCATTCCTCTTCACCCTACTAATCGAAAATGATAAGAGAGGGGGTAGCGTAGACCAGGACGATTTTTGGAAAGAGAATTCGTTCTCTTTCCTCACCGAGCACTCCACTAGATAAGTAGCCTGAATTCTTTTCGCAACCTTTATAAACAATATCTGTGATTTGCGATTTTAATATTTATTTGATGTTTTTGTTTTGATCAGATTCATAGAGGAAAGTTTTCATGTCTCTAATTAAATAATTTATTCATTTTCTTTCTATTATTTTAATTATTTACTGCTATTGATATATTTGACGACAATCTTCTTTTGAAATCTTTAACTCATAATTTGTTCAATGCTGTGGATATGTTGACTCGAAATCGTTTCCAAATTCATCGTCGGAATATTATTAATTTATTGAATTCGAATTTGCAACTTTAAAATACTTGTACTAACTCAGAGATAATTGTGTCCACAAATAAACTGAAAGTAATAATTGATAATACTAATATTTCTGTTCTTGTGTGTGATTGATTTTTATTGTCACTATTTATTTCCAAAATCTGTAAGTTAATATACTTAAAATACTACATCTTTTTGAAAAATACCGTCCTGACCAAGGGAGATGAAGTAAAGGATCCTTACCCACGTGTTTGTTACCCTCGCCTTCCGCTCGGGGTAATTCTGCACGTGGGCACGACTCCTTTATTTTTCGCCACGGCAGGTGCGAAGTACCAATTTTCCTCCCGCAAATCTGACTTTGCGCCTACACGCTGAGAAAAAAATTATCTTTTCCAAATATTCATTTACTTGAGGAACATTTATTTTTTCAAAATCGTATTTCTTCAATCGAGTCATGCCCAAACGAGTCTGATTAGGTTTCAATCATAACAATCATGTTGTTCTAGAGGATGACTGTGCTGCACATGACCTTGGATGAACTCTAATGACTATTCATTTTTCCCAAATTTCTTATTTTCTAGAGGTAAGAAAATCGATTAATTTTTTAATGCCGATAATTACTGAAGGAGTTCACTCAAGGTCATAACTAACATGATCATCTTCTAGAGCAATATAATTGACATAATTGAAACCTAATGGGGAAATTGCCTGGATATAACGGAACTGGAGAAATACGGTATTGAAAAAATAAATACTTCTCTCAAGGAAACAGATATTTGGCAAAAATAATGGCTTTTCTCAGGGCACCGAGGCGAAACAGTATATTTCACGGCGAGTGCCATGGAATTTCTCTCAAAATCTGACGAATAGAATTTACTCAATAGCAAAGTGGTAGAAGTTTCTCGATAGAATTCACCAACTTTTTCAATTGTGGAATTATGTTCGAAATGAGTGACGAAAGAAGTGGTAGGCAGCAATGTAATTTAAAATTTCATTCATACCTTTCGGATTTTCAAGCGTATCCCGGAATTTGCTCGTCAAATAGTCTATGTTACTTTGTAACCGGGCCATCTCTTCCCTAAGAAACATAAATGCAAATTTATTTAACAATGAAATCAATCACCAACTAAGAATATTGACGAACGTACATAAACCATAATCATCTCTAAAATTCGTCAATCTATTACTGTGCTGATAGAGGCGCCGCCGAGGGTTTAACAACCACCGATTTTTTTTTCGGATTTATTTTAAGTTTAAGATCGACCTTGACGGTGCGCTTCTTTTTCGAGGGCGAAGTCCTCAAGTCAATCACTCCGTCAGTCGTCTCAACAGCATCCTCTGTCAACACAGATTTTCTCCATTTATTTTCCTCAATTTTTTCGTAACAAAAGAGCTTGATCTAGATTTTCTAGTGCGATGGGATGAATAAATGAATCATTGGAATGAGTCAAATGAGTATTTTTATTTCACCCAGCAAAAATAATAATTACTTGTGCGTGTGGTTGTTAGCTTCCAAACGCTGTGTGAGAGATTGGCATTCGGCAGTCAGTTGAGAAATGAGCTTTGCCTGATTGCTGAGAGCGTCTTCAAGACCACCCAATTGAGCAGCTAATGAACATTGAATTCCATTAGCCATTTTTTGCCTTTTCTTTCATCAATCTCATTTAATTGAATTTACAGCCCATGCTAGGCATAGTGTCAACATGCCGATTTCCCACACAATTCCAACCATAATTCTTCAATGCACAATGCATTTGAAATTCAGCTACTGGTTTTAGAGTGAATAATTTTGTGTATTTCAAAGACAATATACCCAACACAGGCAACAATTAATAGTTTCTCACCGTTTTTTCCCTCCATATCCATTATCATCGATGTCACGTCCTTGTTTTTATCTTTCCTAGGAGTTGCAGTTGTCTCCACGTGGATAATTCTCGTCATATTTAACTGAAGAGGAAATGAACTAGTGTTAAAAGACATTCATAGTTTTTAGATATGTACGGGGGGAACCAGGGTGAAATTTGAAAGTCTTCGGCTGATGAAAATAATTATTGAGCGAGTTTCGATATATCATGAGGTATCTACAAAACTAAAAAGCATTCGTATCCAATCCATTTCACCCCCACGTCAGGTAAAAACGTCGTTTTTCGTGTTTTTGGTTTTGAAATGCTCCTGGTCCGAGCTTGACAAAATATTTTTTTAATAATTTATTGAACCACATTAGACGGTTTTTATTGATCCCAGAGGAAGGAGGGACAGTTGCTTGAGGCACACGGAGGGAAATATTCAATAAAAATTACGTATATTTTCCGTAATTCCGGAGTGAAATGTGGTTATAGGAAATTTTACGGAACTTTCACGGAATTTTTCCAGAGCGTTCCGTAATTTTTATCTGAATCTCCTGTGAAAAATTACGATACCGTCACTTAAATTTTCTGAGTCGATTCCGTAATCGGTGAGCGAATTGTGAGTTCCATAAATTTTACTGAACACTTCTCTCCGTGCAATCAAAAAGTTTCAGTCCAAAATCTCAATTTGTTGACTATGTTCCCTATACCCTGAAAATTTTTGCAAGAGAAAGTCACATAGTGCGAGTGCTGACGGGTTAAAAGGGAGACATCTTGAAGACCAGTTAATTAATTTCCCGGCGCATTTCCTATTACATTTAAGATGGCCTAATTATTTGAAAGTAATATTCATACACCTCTTTCTCCAAGGAAGCAATCTGCTCAGACAACCTCAGGTTCTCTCGTCGACAGTGCACGATGTCAGCGTCCGCCCGCTCAATTCTCTGTTTATAAGAATTGATTTCTGTTTGCCAACGACTCTGCTCTTGACGAGCATGACGTTCGCTCCGCTCAGCCCCCAGTTTTGCTGTGGCAAGTTCCTGCTCAACTGCATCTTTCTCTGCCGAGAGTTGAGTCAAGTCGCTCTGGAGGCTTGCTACAAGAAGACGAACAGCGACAAATGTATAAAGAAAGCCAAAAATTATTTTTCTGTACTGCTCTCACGATTTCTCGTCTGGGAATTGGTATTACATACTTCCCAAACTCGAAACTTGAAAATCACTATAGAAAAATATTGTTCCTGGGCTATTGCGATGGGGTTTTTTTACTTGTGTGGTTGGCCAGTCCTCGCCTACGGCTCGGAGGCCAACGCCACACGAGTAAAAAACCCCATCGCAACAGGCCGGAAAAATACTAATTAAGGTATATTGACACACGAAAAATCACGTTAACCCGTCGTTAGGCGGGCGTGAGTTTTTCTCTCACGCAACGCTAGGCAACCTACAGAACATCTCTGCAGTGCGAGTGAGATACTAAAAAAAACATCACGCAATGTTGCCAGGAACTCGCTAAACGCGCCCGGGCAATTTAGATAAATTCAGCAACGTTGGTACATCCATATTTTTCGCGTCTCTAGAGTAGAATAAAATTTATGAAATTCAAAATTCATTTATTCATGATCTATTGCGAATAAAGTAAAACGGATGTTTAACTGAGTTTTTTGGAGTGTAACGAATATTTAAAAAAAGCTAAAATCATGTGAAAACTACGGCACAAGGAGCATTTTTAAGGAAAAAATGAAGTTTTTCGTGGTTATACGGGGCAAAATCGAGCGAGTCCGTGATTTTACCTATACGAGGGTCATCCTATGAGGGGAAGCACGCCGTGCGTCGTGTTTCTTTAATTACAATTGACAATTGACAATTGTCTAACCGGAAAAATTCAAAAAAATTTAACTTTGTCAATTGAAGTGTCTAAAAAATTATACTAGTTTTTAGAACAACATATTTCCCAAAATTTCTAAGGAAAATAAATTAGTTCGAACAGATGAGTTATTTTTTCCCATGTTAAATGAAATTGCCTATGATGCGACATTGCCGGAAACTCGTTAAACGCGCCCGGGCAGTTTAGAGTGAATTCGGTAACGCTAAAGCCTAAATAACACGGCGGGGAATCCCCGCGGAGATGACCAATCGCAGGATCGCGTTTGGTGACCAGACTAGGGTTAACCCCTCACGTACGGCGCCCCTATAATGCGGCTTGTCCCAACGGCCGAGAGACTTACGGCGCGTCAACTCCGTTATTCAATGAACGATAAATTAAAAACAGTCGAACGAAAAAAATTGAAAAAAATGCATTGGCTGTATTGAACGTTGAAATAAACTCCTGAATAATTTCCTAATTTTTTACGACAATTTCAATGTTTGCTGACAATTGGTTGCCGAGATCTTCGAGCATGCTAAATTTATTTATAACAAACAAACTATTCAACAAATTGAAATTTAACTTCTGCCATTCGATAGAAGGATTATTGAAGTATTTTCAGTAAAAATGTCAAAATTATTGGGGAAATTTTGTCGATAAACGAGATATTAAATCATTATAAAATATAAAATTTACATTTACAACTTTTGTTCATAGACAAAAATATTATAAATGCATTGAAAAAAAAATGAAATGAAATAGTCCACTGCAGAGACAATTTCATCGACTTCCCAAATATCTTTTCCAAATGTCAATATGTCTCTTAGAATTCAAGAAAATGATGTTTTACTGTTGACGGAAAGTGTCGATACCATGCATTGACCCCAGCCGATAGAACAAGTTTATGAGTCGATGCATGGTATCGACGCCGTACGCGAGGGGTTAAGGATGTTCTACACCCTTTCTGCCAAAATTCACGTTTTTAAAATTTTTCTGGCAAACTTATGATGGAATTGACGTGAAAAAATATAACGTTTTTGCGTTTTGTCATTATTTAATGACTCACGAAGGTTCATGGTAGTGCAATTATTTTCCTGCATTTTTTCTAAAGTTTTGTGAATTTCGGAAAAGTTTTAGAAAAAACGCAGGATCATGAAATTTCGTGAGACATTAAGTAATGATAAAACGCAAAAACGGTATATTTTTTCACGTCAATCCGATCAACAATTTACCAGAAAAATTAAAAAAACGTGAATTTTGGCGAAAAGGGTGTAACATCCCTAAACAATCGGATAAAATGTGGTACGGGGCTCACAGTGCGCCCAACGAATTGTAAAAGTGCACCACTCAAATATTCCCTCACATGTTTTAGACTGCATTTCCTTCTTGAGATCCTCAATGACCGCCTGCTTCTGATTCAATTCCCTCTTGAGATCCAGAATCTCTCGTCGTTGTTTCTCAATCTCCAGCTGGGACTTGGACGCCGCGTCCCAGTGCGTCGCTACATCGGCGGAGAGCTGCTCCATCTGATGCCCATACCTCCTCTCCACCTGGTGTCTCTCCTCGGCCAGTCTCCTGCAGGCATCCTGCGTAGCTTCCCTGATCTTCTCCCGTTGCCTCTCCAACTCGTCCTTCAGCCTCCTGATCTCCGCCTCCGCCTGACTCTTCTCGAACTCCGCCTGCTGAGCAGAATCCATCGCACGTTTCGCCTTCTGACTGGCTTCAGTCTCTCTCTCGCGCGCTGCCTGCAGACTCTTCAGGGTTTCATCGAGTTTAGAATTCGTCTCTCGTTTCTCTCGCATCACTTGCTCCAACTGGACAACTGCCTCCGGACTGGAAGCACCAGTGTCCGATCTCTTCAGACTCGACGTTTTGTCCTCTAGGGCTTTCTTAAGTTCAATTCTCGCCTGTGTCAATTGCGCCTCGAGCTCACTGATCCTGGACTCGTACATTATCGCAGGCCCGTCCATCCTCTGGAGTTTCATCTTCTTTCCAGGGCTGGAGTGCACCTCCAGCTCCGTTGAGGGCAGGGATTTACCTTCCAATCGTTTCACCTCGTCACAACTCTCGTACTCAGTCAAAAAGGCTTTCAACAGGCCTGTTTTGTTTTTATCGTGGAGAGCTTCGTTCTCAGCTACTACTTCGCGAATTTTACCGAGGAGGTTCTTCAACTCGTTTTTGCAGTAGCGTGACTCCTGCTCCAATTGCTCGATGTACTGCTCTTGACGCATTATAAATGATGTGAGCTCTCGCGGCGTCAGTTGGGAGTCTTCGGCAGTTAGGATCGATGCTGGCAGGCGAACTTTGTCGGCGGATGAGATACATTCGCTCACGGCACTTCGATCGTCCGTGTCCTCGGCGGACTCGTGCAGGCGGAGGTTGCTGCGACGATAGATACCCCTTTCGCGGTGAATTTTACTGGAGGAGATGTCATCATTTTTGGCCAAACGATTTTTGGGAATATTTTATTTGCTGTTATTTAATTGTGCAAAATAGGGATATCTAACACATTCGTTAGAAAATTCCATTAAATTTTTACTGGACTTCTAGTGAAAAGTCCATTAGTCCTTCGCAGACTCTACTACAAAAGTCTGCAGCTTTTACGGGCAATTTTTTTGAGGGAAAAGAAAATTATGCATTAGATTAATAGAATTTGATTTTTTTAGACAATTTAATCAAACAACAAAATGCTGTAAGGCCAGGGTAGATTAACTTTCGAATGTGATCTTGGTTGTTTTTTTTTATTTTGATAATCTGAATGATCTCCAATTGCTATTCAGTTTTTAGCCCTGGAGTCTCCACAAATTATGATTGTACAATCAAAAAAACGTTGAAAAAAAGCTGAGCATTTTCAAAGAGCGTTTTTGAATAATATTGGGAAATACACCCAATAGAGAGGAAATTGCAAATTAATAATTTGATGTATCTACAGGCTGTTACGTCGGCATTTGTCACCGGAGTCAATGGCTGTCAGATAGTTAGTTACCATGATAAGTTACTCATTTACTATTTCCCCTCTGTCGGACTTATTTCTTAATCTTTACTAAAAAAGTTCTTTGAAAATTTTTTTTTCTACTTTTCGATTGGACAATCATAATTTTTAGCGACTCCTGCGTGATGTAAAATCCAATGGAAATTGCGAGATATTTTAGATTATGTAGATGGAAAAACAATCGAAATAACGTTCGAAAGACAATCCACCGAAAAATCCGCAATCCGTCGAAATTTACAACTTTTTTTGAGGGGGTCGTAAAACTTGTGATCATCTTAGGAGTCGATTCAGGTGAGAATCTCATTTCCGAAAAAAAAATTGATTGAAACCGTTCTGCCGTTCCGCTACTGAATTTACTCTGCTCAGATATTTTCTATCGAAATTCTTCGGGCTAAATTTTCTGCATTTTTAAATTTGATTTTTCAAAGAAAAGAGAAAACATAGAGTGAAAAATTCTTAGAAAATATCTTGATGCAAAAATTATCCTGAAAGATCACATTCAATAGATTTTTTTGTGAAAAGCATTTTACTGAGCAAAATGTGCGGGGAAGCTGCGAAATTTGTCAATATAGAAAAAATTATAGAATGCCCAATAAGAGTCCAATAGAAAAATCTAACCAATGCGCTAGCTTTTTTATGCATTTTTTATACGTTGGAAATGGGGCTGAGATGATGAACCACCCCAGTGTACCCGTAGAGGATAAATCATATTTTTCAGTACATACCCTGTTGATCTCGGTGTATAAGACTCAGCCAGAAGATACTTCAGCTTCGATACGGCTTCCCTGTAAGCAGTCTCCGTATAGTCCGGCATCTTCTTCTTTCCAACGTCCATCTTCTGCAGCGAGCTCATTTTCCTGACCACAAAAGCCCTCAAATGAGCTACAGTACAAATAAAATTCACTAGTGAAATGGTAAACGGAGATAAGTAGACTTATCTCCCAGTTAAGTTTTTGAGGAATATTTCCCAATCAAAGGGAGATAGCGAAATTTTCGTAAATATATTTATTGTAGCACTCAATCGGCTCCACAAAAAAGTTCATAACAAAAATTTTGCTATCTCCCTTAGATTCCGAGATATTGATTGAAAACTGGTCAATAGTCAAAATTGACTCATCTCCTTTTACCACTTCGTTACTGAATTACACTTATTCAAAGGGACAAAAAATCAATACAATGTATTACTCACCGGACTCTGAATCGCTTGGGTCTACCAAAGGGTGCATTTTCTATGTGTGAGAAATGGTAAGTGCCCCTCGGTTTGATGTAAGACCTCAGTGGTAATTTTGGTCGTGTGAGCAGAGTACCTGGGGACGTGGAGACACCGATAACGGATGTACCACCTGTGCGGCATCGTCGTGGATAGTTGCTCGTCGTTAGCATTCCGTTAGCATTATGCCAATGAAACAGGCATCGACGCTCTTACATATAAGCTCGGCTGCTCACCTGAATCGATTGAATGAGGTGGAGGGAGTGGATGAAGGAACAGGGGATGTGAATGTAAGGTGAAACGCACAGGGAGTCCTGGGGAATCTTTGACGGTAGTGGGGTTCTTTGACTCGGTGGGAGGGCTTCTCCAAGTCAACCGAGTAAATTGAACACTGGGTGGAGGGAATCCGTAACCAGAGACTGGTACGTGAATCGCGTGTGGCAGGGTCATCCGTGCTGAGGAGGGACAGGCACCGTACCATCAGCCACACGCAATTCCATCATCCCCTTGGATCTTCTTTATACGTGCTACTGAAAATCATTGATCAGATTAATCCTTTCAACTTCTTTTTCGAAGAGATTGTCATAACTTTAACAGTGGACTCGCTTGCTGATTAAATGGGATTTCTCTATAGTAAATTCAGCGTGGGAATTGGGGGATAGTTGTTACGAATTTTTCGACATTTAATGCGAAAATTGAAGCCTATTAGCATTTCGTCAACTGGGAGATTTATAGACACTTGGCATTTCTACAGGAAAAATTCTATGAAGAAGTCAATATGGCAATTCTTTATCCGGAGAGTCGGAGTTTTCATAAAATACTCAACAATTTTTCGTACTAGGTGGACGGGCGCTTCCCGCCCGTGGCTAGATTAGTTTATACTATTCTGTTTTATTTTATTATTTCTTATTTTTATTATATATATATAATAAAAATAATATATTATTATTTATGATTATATATATATATATGTAATTTTTTAAATATATATATATATATATATATATATATATATATATATATATATATATA